ACATGTTATGTTTAGAACACGTGCATTTTTCTCGCCACAGTTGATAAGACGTTTACATGGTTGTTGTTGGGAAGCATTTTGCATTTTTGCTTATTGTGGTTTAGGGGGAAATCCCCACTTAACTGCTAACAATTATTTTTGTTGCTCCCCTTGCAACGTCAACCAAGTTTAGTAGCCTTTTTAAAGCTGAGGTCCTTTTGACTTGCCCATGTCTCTGAAAATGGGAACTGGCCAGGTGACCAACGACAATGTCGTGATTGAGGCGTGGGTGGGGCCATACCTGGGCCTTTTGTTTGGGCCCCGCACTCACAGTACACTCTCCCAAGCAATTGCACCGTGGTTGATGGGCTTTCAATGCCCATTGGCCATGCCCAAAGCTGCCTCCAGGGATGTTTTGATATGTTGCTTTAATTCATGGTAGGCGTATCTGCTCTTTTGGGGGCTGAACAACTTTGCAGCATGTTGAACACGTTTGCCTGAATTACGTGGTTCTTGGGGGGGGGGGGGGGTTGTGGCTATCGCAGGTTGCACACAGTTCGGACAGCTTCCAAACACAGCAAGAGAGCTCGCAGATGAGTCAGCCAATGCAGCCCAAGCATTCAAGCCGCTCAGGAAGGCGGGCATGTGGCTATGCAAATTGATGTTCGACTTTCATGTCATGGGTTTGTGTGTTTGAGGGTTCTTGGGCCTAGCTTCAAAGGAACCCAACAGGGAAACCACAAGTTGGGGGCCCCCTCATTTGGACACATACCCAATTGCTGAGCCAAGACCCTTGGCCACAGAAGGGCGTCAGAAGGGGAACCTCCCCAAGTGGTTGGGGTTCACTCTGGCACCGTCACTCCTTCCAAAAACCTGGTAGGTTTTGAGGCGGCACTTGATCCAGGAACAAAACGAACCTCCAAAGTGCGCTGAACAACATGCATATGTCATGAAAACTACTTTTTCTAGGCAGATCAGAAGGGTGCTGCCCACGTGCTCGTGCATTTGTTTGTCAAAACCTTACTAAGTTGGTGGACGCTTGGCAGAGAGATGTGCTTTGGCTCTCTGCGACATTGCCTCCACAAGTCGGCACCTTGCCCACCGCGAACAGGGCTCTCCAATTCATTGGAAGCAGCAGGTTCCTATCAAGTGTTTGTTTGTGGTTTACGCTGCCCGTGCTGCTCAAGCTCAAGTTGCACACATTCCCTACGAACTGCCTGGCAGAGCTTGGCATAGAAGGAGGAGCAGCCTGGCGTTTGACAGGTCGAGGGCAAGTTCTACCTGGACATGCCCTGGCCCTACGAGGTTCAGGACAGCCAGGGCAGTGCCAAGTTTGACAAAGCCAGGGCCTCAGAGCGCGAAGTGCTTTTTGGGTCTTGTCGGTGAACCCATGGTTCATGGCTCCCCTGCCTCCGAGGCAAAGCAAACCTTGACACTGGAGCTTCCGGCTCTGGCCTTGGCGAGCGATTGTGCAGCGGATGTGTTCGGCGATTTCGGGGGACAGGTGGGTGGAAATCGCGAAGACATATGGCTGTGGGTCAAAACCAATGGGATCCCAGTTTGGGGTAGGTGCACCACCCATTTTAGTCTATTTTAGTGGGGATTAGGATGTTGACTGGGGGTACGAGATTTTAACCCATGACCATATGGCTTCCGTGTCTAAAAAGTGGTCAATTTGAGTGTCATTTGAGCGGCGGTTTTTCGGGTGTAAAAGCCCACATCTTCGTGGCGTCACATGACGATACGCAAGACATGGTTGTGCCAGCTGGTTGCAGGATGGCATCGCAAGCTGGCGGTTCCTAGTCCGGCTTTTTCTGGTACACCCGTTGTGCTAGTAGGTAAAAGCGAAATTCTGCAGAAAAGCAAGCAAATTTCGCCTGCGCAAGCATTTCGCCCAAAATCTGTCCGAAGGCCGTTCGTGGCACACCTCCGTTTCACCCCGTTCCTCCAGTATGGCCGCCATGCAAAGACTTGGTCAGACTAATTACACTGCAGCCTGCCGCAGCCGACTTCAAGCTCGTTTTCTCGTGCTCCCCGTCCAAGCTCAATCGTAACGAGCCTGTAGCCGAGTGTAAAAAGCGCGTTGAGCTCATCGTTGTCGCGTAGGCGGCGTAGGCAGGTATTTAGTCAGCTCGGTCTCGCTCAGGCGTTTTTGTGTGGAGGCTTCCACGACTCAAGCAATGAAATAAAGGACTGAGCTCACTTGGCTTCTACTTGGTCTGGTTTTTAACCTTTCACTTAGGAATATGCGTGTTGCCCCTCAGCAACAAGGAAGCTTGTTGCACAGGGAATCGGGCGGTTCCAAAGCTTCAGGTGGTTCCAAAGCTTCCAGACCCAGAAGCTCTCGCAGCGGCGCAGCGCTTGCAAGGCGGGGAGGGTTTGCTTTTTGAACCAGAGGTCAGTTAAGCAGGTGGTTGCAGTTTTGTTTCTAACACGGAAGGACACATTAATTACAAAGTTTCTTCAATCCTTGGCGAATGTGCCATTGAAGGCTGAGAATGTAGAGACTTTGGTTGGCGGCATAGACGGTGGTTGCAGTTTTGTTCTAACACGGAAGGACACATTAATTACAATGTTTCTTCAATCCTTGGCGAATGTGCTATTGAAGGCTGAGAACGTAGAGACTTTGGTTGGCGGGGACATGATTTTCCCCACAAATAGGGCGCGGGGGCAAGCCCTGTCGGAGGAGACTTCAGCGTGGCCCATTCTTTAAGACATTTCCAGACTTTGATGGATTGGTGTTCTGGTTCCCGATGGGTTTCAATCAACCACATGAGTTACACGCGTCCCGAAGTTCCCGATCTTGGACCTCCAAATTGAAGCTTTAATGGGACCAAAGGAACATGGAGTGCTCTGATTTGCTTGCTGGTTCACAGCAGAAAAATGAGGTAATCCCCCTATATAAAAGTTTCCTTTAAAGGAAGGGAATCCCAGAAGGTCATTCCCTACCTATCGCACCAGCAAGTTTGGAGCACTGTAATATACCTTGAGAGTTGTGCTGGTCACTTTTCAGGTTCGAAGCTTTTAGGCATGAGCTGGCCTGGGCAAGCTGTTTATGGGGAAAAGGAGGCAAGCATGTGCTTTGGATGTTCCAGCACCTCTTGGATCACGAAGCCCTTTTCTTATGCGCCAAAGCGCACATCCGCACACAGAGCTAAGGCATACCCTGCAATTTACTGGCCAGATATCTATATCTACATACATATATTTATACATATATACATACATATAAATATGCAGTGGTTGTATATCCTATTGCCCCACTGGTTGGAGACCATCTCAAGGAGGGCCCCACAAGTAAGCTCCAAGCTTTGCAAAGGCTTGGGCGTCCTGAAGGGCGATGACGGCGACGTCACCGAGGATGAAGATTTGCCGCCCCTGGAGGCGGGCTTCTCCAATTCCAAGCTTTGTCTTAAGGGGAAGCCATCCTAAATCATGGGAAACTTGGGAGGATAGCTTCAAAGGGGTCCAAGAAATGGACACCCAAACTGCGAAACTCGGCAGGATAGCTTCTTCATGGACACCCGAAATTTGTCGCCCGTCCGAGTCAGGAGCCGGAAGAGCCAACAGCCGAAGCCGAGCTTCCCAGGGAGGCTGCAGAGGTCAAAGAGGAGGAGGCTCGTGCCCATGTTGGTGGCTATGTTGTGCATCGTTGACCACATGTCGATGACTAATGGAAGGATCATGATGGTGGTGGTGGTGGTGGTGGTGGTGGTGGTGGTGGTGGTGGTGGTGGTGGTGGTGGTGGATGATGTTGCTGTTGATGAAGATGATGAGCATGATGGGCATGACGACAAGGAGTATAGGAGGATGCGGAGGAGAGCCAGGAGGCGGAGGAGGATTTTGCAGAGGATGACGATGACGCTGATCAATAAGTGGTTGGCCGCCTATGTTATGACCAACTAATAACTAGCAAGGTTATCTCCACTTGGGGGAATTTATCAGCTGGCTGGAACTCAGGTTGCTAACAACTAACGTGGCCTTTGCCAGGCGCAAAGACCGCCTCCTGAGCCGCCAGCGGGAGCCCCGGTTGCTTGGGCTGCTTGGCCGGAATGCTGGCGGTTAAGTTAAGGCATGCCCAGTAGCCCGCGGCACAATAATGGAGAACCCTGGGTCAATAAAGCCCGGATTCCCTCGTTGATTCATGGAAGGGTGTTCTCTTTTGGCAGGACTCCTTCACTTGTACAGGGTGGGTTTGTTAATTCGGATTTCCATTGCCATTGCTCATCACAACTATTTCTTGCCGTCGCCGCCTCTTTATGTTGAGCTAAAGCCGGAACTGTGGAAGCGACATGTTTGCAGGTTTCCTCATGAGGTGGCGTGTTCAATATATATATATATACTTGTTCGTGTGTAGAAGCCATGTTGTTCCAGGCAGTCATGTGGCAACAACTTACAGGTGAACGGTCCGAACGTCTTTAAAGGTGCCCGCGCGAGTGGACGGGAAAGACACTGCAGCCATGGTGTTGGTTCGATTCGTCCGTTCTTTGCATTGGGTTTCAGAATGAATTTGTCCCTCCCCCTGAGCATGCGTGAATGTAGGGCATTGTTCTTTGAGTTGCAGCAGGCCATGGACTAGATGGCTGAGTTCTTGGATTGGACTTTGGCAGGTAGGCTACTGGCAACAGGAGTCTTCCGTGCGATTCAAGCACGGCATTTTAAGCTTGCCTTGAATGGGATGCAATCAGCAAGTATGGATACTAAACAAATCCCAATATCCAGATATAGCACAGCCTCTTTCTTCACGCCTATTACTCATTGATTCCAAGTTGATTCGATGTCGTTAGAATCAACGTGCATTGATGCCGGCGACGTGGCCCCGCAGCCATTGAGGGCCGCCATTGAGGGCACAGGGTTTGATCCAACGCGCGGTTTTGAGCCTTTCGAAGTCAGAGGATGGCTTAGAGCTTCAGTCAGTTGCCAGCTTGGCCATCAGGAGACTCAGAGGCTTCTTCCTTTTTTTCTTTTCCGCGCGCCTTGTGGTTTGGCTTAGCCATGCATGACGCCGCGGTGCAGCTGCAATGTCGCGACTTTGGAAGCAGGCGCAAAGACGCCGGCAAGTTGGACTGGTTTCAGATTACTTGAAGTTTGTTGAATGCGTGCCATCGGCCCCGCCAGCGTATCGAAGCGTCCCTAGAAGCACCCTTTCTGCAAACGGCACGAGCGGACTCTAGATTTCAGTGTCTTCAGCTGGGATGCAATTTTCTCCTTGGTGAGATGGCTTCGGACTTCCTGCTTTCCTATCTGGAGGGCTCAATTTGAGACTTCAGAAGAGCCTAAGACTCGACCAAGGCCAACAAGGCGTGTTCTGATGTTCGTGACCTATGGAGACATACAGGGTTTTGTTGCGTGAAGTGTCCCCCAGGGGTATGGCCCAAATATAGCCTTAGTAAAGCTTACCGAGCCTTGCTCGGTTCGACGTAAAAAACATCACAAATGTCAAAAGGGCTCAGGTCGCAACAAAAGGTGGCCTCTTGATCACTGCCTAACCTGGCCACCGTTTCGTCCACGTAGCTGAATGGAAGCTATCTAGGTCACCTAGAAGTGACTTCCCATGGCACATGGTCAGTGTCCAAATGCGCTTGTCCATCACTACCTATTTCTACCCTCATCGCTTTTTCATGACACCATACAGGGCTGCCTCAGCGAGCTGAGTGTGGTTCCCCACGAGCACTGGCTCCAGGTCACCCGCAGAAGCACCGCGCAGCCCAGCCGCCCCTCGCGCCCGGACCCCGCGAAAGCTTCGGCGAAAGCCGTGGCGAAAGCCAGCGGGGCACCCAGAGGTGCACGCTCCCCCGAGCGCCAGAGAGTCGTGTTTGGCACCAGTGTTCTCCACAAGTGGGTCTGAATTTTCAGTAAAAGGGGCAGGTTCCATGGAAGCTTCCGGAGCTTTGAAAGAATTTATTCCATCTACAGCCGAACAATCTTGTTATCGGAGAGTACCATGGCCTAGACATACAGCGCTGGTTGTGAGGAACTCGTGATTTTTAGCAGCGCCGCCCTTTTACCATTTATTATTTTTAGCTCAGTTTTGTTAAGACTAAATAGATTGGTTTCGCTGCCTTCGGCATTCATGTGGCTAAAGGGCGGGCACGAAAAGGAGCTATCGGCGCTATCGGGCTTATTCCGACATGTCCAACGTACCAAGATCGAGCTACCTTTAAGGAATGAGCCTAACATGAGGCATCATCTCATTTTGGATCTTCTTGGTATCAAGAGCCAATGATTTGAACGTTGTCTTGCTTTCGATCGGCTTTTTGTTGCCTTGATCACCAGAAGGAGCATTGCAGCGCTCCCGTATGCACATCTCCTGCTATTATATCTTTCAGCCAGGCGAGCCTTGGGCTTGATTGACATATCTCACCATTCTGGAATTTTGGTCGACAGTATTGGCCTTGTGGGTCTTGCCAGTGGCGTGCTTGTGTGTGTGTGTGTGCGTGTGTGTGTGTGTGTGTGTGTGTGTGTGTGTGTGTCTGTTTGTATTGTGGTTGTCCTCTTTGTTGCTGCCGCAAACGCAGCCGCAAACGCACGAAGCCGTGGATGTTTTTCGGAAGCACTGTGCCGAGGCGCCGAACCAGAGCCAATAGCTTCGGAAGCAGCGGCTGATGAGGTCCCTCAGCGCTATGAGTGGTGTCATAGTTCGTAGGTGTGGTGTTGTTGAGGCTTGTGTCGTGTTTGTTTTGCAAGGTCAGCATTGGCTTTTTTGTGTGTTTGCGATTTTGGTTGGGTTTGTTTTGGTTGGCCTCAGTTGCGAAACAAGTGGCTTTGGGACAATTTGGAGACGCTCATTCCGCTGATTGAGACCATCCCACATCCCATTTGTTGGTGATGGGGTTGGTGTGCGGCCCGCACACATGCATATTTGCCCCAGATGCATGTTGGCTAGGACTGGGGCATTGCGCTTTGGCGGATGTTTCTTTGGATTTGTCCCAAGTTTCTTGCCAGTGCAGTTTTCCAACTCGAGCTCATGGATGCGTATTTGGAGGGGTATTTGGAAATCCATGAAAACTCAAGTTCATTTGTCACTTGGGGCAGTACGCTAAATCGATTTTTCCCTTATTGCCGTCAACGGCAACGGCAAGCACAGCATGCTCACAAAGACTTGCTCTTGAAGACGGGCAAGTTTCTTTCATCATGCATTTTAGGTCCCAAACCCACGCCAAACAGAAACAGAAGTTTCTGGAGCGCTCATTCAGTGTTCACACCATGAATTACCACTTGAGATGCATCGAAACGGATCCTGTTTTCACCCTGCACGGGCGTGTGTGTGTGTGTGTGGTGTGGAAAGGTGGTTCTGATTCCTTGCTTGCTTGCAGGGACCGAGTGCCCCTGCACCAAAAGCACGAGATCGGCGGATTGCTTGCCTTTGTCCGATTGCAAGATGTTGTCTTGAAAAGATGGCAGTGGCACAAGCAACTTTCAAGCCTTTTGCTGCTGAGAGCCGCAGCACTTTCCAGGTTGCCAAAGATTGCCATAGAGTTTCTACTGTACAGGCAAGTTATTGCGAAGGTGACCCAGTTGAGATTGGGCGTGGAACACGGTTGCACTCTGTGGGACTTCTTGGCTTTGCATAAGGCTCGTGTGCGGCGTTTCTCTTGTGCGCTTCTCAAATGTTGCTGTGTACGGCCTTGTGTTTGCGTGTGTTGGTTGTGGGTGGTATGGTTGTGGCTTGGCTTTGATTGAGCTGATTTCATCCTTGCTTGGGTGGAGCACATTGTGCTCTGTTTTGCTGTCCTGTAGTCAAACTAGCAGTTGCCACGCATGTCCATCAGCCTGTCGGTCCCTCATTAAATTGCATCTTTGACAAAACCATACCATGTGTAAACGGTCCAGTTGCTCAATCAGTTCCATTCGAGTAGTTTCATGAAAGAGATGGACAAGGCAAAGCCCTTTCCCTTGCTCAAGAATCAGTGCTTGACTCTCCTTAAATGAAGGGCATGAGGCATGAGTTGCAGATGTTCTATTTCTCAGACCTTCCAATGTCCAAAGCATCGATTTTGCTCTAACCGAGAGCCACTGCTGCCGCAGGTGTTGGCCTCGAGCGTCCCAGGCCTGTGTCATCAGTTGCCATTGCCATGGTGCCATGGCCACACTTTTCACCTGGTTTTAAGTTGGAAACCAAAGGAAGAACCTCAATCTAACGGGCAGAGTGACCTTGGGTACAATGGCTAATGTGGGTTGCCATTTGACAGCCATTGGGGAGTGCTTGGCGGTTTTATTTTATTTTTTGCCAGGAAGCCAAGGTGCACCCAAGAAAACACCCCCATAGCAGAGGGCATCAGCTTAGGGCCGGCCTGGCTGCTTGAGATGCGAGGAATGTGCTTTGGGGACACCGCCCCCTTCTTGGGGTTCCATGGTGAGTTTCGGTTAGCTATGACCATAGGTGTCCTTTTTGGTTGTTTTGCTAAGAAAAATAGATGGCCCTGGTTTACCTGGTGGTTTAATCATCTACCAGGGCCATCTATTTCCCCTAAAAGGACACCTATGGCTATGACGGTGTCTCATTCAGTTTCTCAGACTTAGACGGCTTTGTATCACTTTCATCCATGGATATCATGGGTTTGGTTAGGAGCCGACAAGCCTAGTCAAGGCTTGTCTGGGAGACCAATCTAACAACGAAGGGGTTTTTGTGCTGTGCATGCAGCGTCCTTGGGACGCAAGATGTTCAAGATGGCTGACCGGGGGGGGGGGGGGATCTTTTGGGCGCGACGCGGCTTCTAGACTCCGTGGGCGCGGGCGCAATTCAAATAATTCTCGAGACCTTGCCGGGTGTTTTTTGGGGTTTGCCCACCTTGCATTTCAAGGGGGAGGCCCAAGGCAACTATTCGCACAGTTGCCTCGTTGCGGTCCATGTCTAATTCGCCTACTTCAAGGGGCAGGGTACTTAGTATGTGGTTAGCAAGCCTGACTAGAACCCACTTAGGAGACTTACAACCATGGCAAGTGGGGATTATGGCAATTGTTATTACCCACTTACCTGTGGGTTTTTGTCCACTTTCCTGACGTACCCTGCCCCTTTAAGTGGCGAGGCGATGGCCAGATCGAACCGATCGTGGCCCTGCAGTTGGAGGCGTGCTGATCACCACTTGGGGTTCGTAGATTGCCGTTGCTCATGCTTAACATTAATGGGAACCCCGGTTTAAGAAAACTCCTGGCTTGTTGTTAGAGTTGGGATTTGGAGGGGCCACCCCGAAATGAATAAAGCAGGTTTGTGAATCCAAGGTCAACATTACTTGTGCATGCTTCTTAGAAGACAAACGACCTGTGAGAACGAAGCTTGGGGAGAAAAGAAAGCAAAGCGATGCGCAGGACAAAGCATAGGCCCAGGCCAAGCAAGCAGTTGATCAGGATAATCTTCGACAGACAATTCACTGTGATACACGGTGTCGATAAGCCACCTGGCTAGCAAGCCTTTGGCTATACGACATCTAAGACTGCAAGGCCAAGACTGCCGTAGCAGTTGGGTGAAAGCAGGTTGATGTGAATGCACAATCCTGCATGTTGGTCACCTTTGCTTACCCCAAAGGTCAACCTGCACAAGCAACTTTGTTGGAAAACACACATTGCATGGGACCCGGGAGTAAGCGACGTGGCCTCACTAGGATGCCAACATAACCGGTGAGGTGCAGCCGGAGCCATTGGAGAGCCCCGTTCTCGAGGACGCGCCGAGACAGATGCGATTTCGTGATTTCCCCGTGGAATAGGGGTTACAAGGGAAGGCTGGGAAGCTAAAGTTCTGTAAGCCGATTTGTAGAGCCTGTTTATGGCTTGAGGGCGTTCGGCTAAAGCTTGGGTGTAAAGCCAGACGGCGTAAAGCCAGGCACTGATTTGCTGAGCTGGGCTTGGGGTCATTTTGTGAGCCTGGTTGGTTTGTTTGGGGGCAATGTTTGGGGTGGCCTTGCTTGAAGTGCATGAGTGAATGTGTGTCATTAGGCAAAGGGTCACTCCCAACATGAGCTTGCCGCAACCCCAATCCCTGGAAGCAAAAAACAAGATGCAGTCCAAGCAAACCTTCAAAACAACGAACTTGCCGTCCCAAATCCTCCAAACATGATGTACCCGAAAACCAAGCACAAGAAGAGCAAATCGCATTGCTGGCTCACTGGCCAGGGTTTCTGGCGATTCTTTGGGCTAGGACGACTTGCCTCCGGGGGCTTGGTCCGAGATGCTGCGGCAGAACATCCAGGAGCCGCACAGATTTTAGGCGGAGGCAAACGCACCCGGCGCCATTTAGCGTGGAAGTGCGGGCGATGGGCTTGGGCAAGCGATGTGAAAGGATCAGCTGGTGATAGTGTTCCAAATGTTCAAGTTCAACGGCACCCTTCTTCCATTTGGCGGGAGCTCATTGAGCATGTTTTTTTTCTTCATCCAGAAAGGGCCCCCTCTTTTCACCAGGGTCACTGCGCAACTGCTGGTCTATTTGGTGGCGAGCTCACCGATGCCCTTGACTTCAGGGATCCCAGAATTGTAGTTGTTGGACATATTGCAATATGTATCCCCACGCAATCCTTTCAAGTTGGCAAACTCCACGCCTAAAGATTGAACATGTTTGCAGATCCCAGTTCAGCCACGCATACCGAACCCAGTTCCTTGCTATTGTACGGGGCTGAGTGTTTGCTAACATGATGTTTCCCATCGCCATGAATTCTGTTGTAAACAAGTCCCCCGGAACCCCATTCTAACACGTTGAGCCCTTACAGTATTTGTCCCTTGTCGAGGGAACCCTTTTTGGGGTTGCTTTTTCAAGGGAAACCTGAAGAACACATCCATTTTAGGGGTACCCTTATGTTGAGACACACCCGGCAGGACATGGGTATGGCCGTAGACCGGGCGCGCATGCCTCGTGCGGACTTCGACGCCGAGCAAACCGCTGAGGCTTCGGGCTGGACGCTCGGCCAAGTGAAGTCGGCTGGAGGTCATCTATGGTTGAGGCCAATTGCCTTGAAACCCCTCAGGTGTTTGGGGGATGGCCCCAATTGTGCGTCATGTTTGATGTTTTATTGGGGGACATTGCGTGGTACAGGGGAGAAGGGGTTACCTGGGCTTTTCAAAGTTCATCCGGAATCCTTCCAGATGGTGGTGGTTTGACTTGGTGCAGTGGTGTCCCGCTACGGATTAGGATCAGGGGTTTCCGCCCCACGTTGAACAACCCACTTTACCTGGAATCCCTAGCTTCAGGTCTTTGAATTGTTGTAACAAGGCCTGCATTTTTAGGAATTATCGGTCCCATTGAAGTGGTGCCAGTGGGTGCCGCCCCAAGGTTTGTTGAGACAGACAACTTCAAGTATGTCTTGGGAGGCATGGAGAAGTTTGCTTCGCCTAAATCGTCAGTCGTCCTTTCAAGAGACCAGTCGACTGGGTTCCAGTTTGTGTTGGTTGCAGTGTCATGAGTGGCGCTGAGAGAGCTTGCAAAATGCATTACAACATTGCTGAGCAGGAGGGTGTTTGCTGAGCAGATATGCGTACATTTTGTTCACTAGTCTAGGTGACGAGATTGTCCCAACCACCTTGTGAATACACGTTCCCCGCAGTCAGTTGCTTGTGATAGACCTGATTCACCAAGGTCTGGCTCTGGTGCTTGGCACCTGCAATCGGAGGATTTACAAAAGAGATTCATCCCCGTTGCCCTGGCGCAGCCGCCTCAAGAGCCGGCGCCTCGCACCAGCCCGGCATACCCGACATACCTGGCGGCTCACACGGCCGCCTGTGGGGCGGATCTGCGAGAAGCTGAACGGCCGCCGCCGCCGCCGCCGCCAAGGCGCGGCGTCTTTTCAGAAGGCCAATGGAACAACTCTGGCCAAATCACCAGGTTCGGATTCCCGAAGGAACGCATTCTGCAACAAACAGATATCTGTATATGTATATATGTATATATGTATATATATGTATGTATATATGTATATATGTATATATGTAGATAGAGAAAGAGTCAGTGAGCGAGGTAGAGCTGCGTGAAGTGCGCAGGGGGCCGCCCGCCAGAGCAACGTCCCCAGTTGAGCTGCGGGATGCACAGCCCGACAGCCAAAGCTCGGCCGCGGAGGTCTGAGTTTCAAAGGGAGGGCTAGCTGAGTCCAAAGTCAGCTTGAAAGAAGGGAGCTCATTGAGGAACATGAAAAAAAAGCATTGCAGCTGAACATTGGTCTTGGGTTGTGTTGTTTCCCCCCTCTATTGTCCTGAACTGCACTTGGCGATGTCCCTTGCTTGGCCCATTCGCCTCTGGAGCGGTTGCAAAGGAGAAGTGACCTTCCGCAGACTGAAGGTTCCTCCTGCATCAGAGTGTTTCATTCCAAGCCGATTCCTCTGGTTGAATGGGTGATTGAATTGCTTGGATTCAGGGGCTCTCCACCACCCATCCTCAACCGCTGTTTGCAGTGCATAGTCCGTTTGCTGTTCCTCGAATGAAGTTCAGCATTCGGCACTTACCAACGTGTGACCTAGCACTTCCACAGTATTTGAGCTATACTCTTTCCTGTAGTGTTTTCAGTGGGCAACAGCAAGTCCTGACTTGGTTTGGCTCATCCAACCGGAGGTGACTTGACTCTTTAGCTCCAGACCGCTTTGATCCCATCGCCCAGTTCAAAACATCAGACAGCAATCCCACTGATTCTCACGGCGCTTTCAGCTCCAAACAGCTGTGAAACTGGTACACTAATTGCCTGCCCCGACCCCTCCCTAAAAGCGAGCACTTGGCAAATCAGTCGTTGGATTGAACAGGCGCTTTGCCCACATGAGTTTCTATTATTTGTGTGTGTCGACTGTTGTTGCGGAACCAAAAGCTGCAAGCCATCCCCAATCCCAATTTCGATATTATATATCGGCAAACTGTAGATGTCGACTCTGGCTTGCACAGAGCTCTTTGCAGGAAGCCAAACCTCCGGCCACGGCGTGCAAGCGCTGCCAACTCAACTCCCTGGAGGTGAGCATGGTCTCTCAATCGTCATTTGGCAAAGGGGTGCAGGACCCCCATGACCATGAGTCTGAAAAGAAGGACCTTAGTTATTTGGGTATGAGTCAAAATTAACACCATCGAAAACCGCATGTCTTAGTCAGTGTTTCCATTTGCCAGGGTTTGACCCATTTGTGTTACCCTCCCACCAATTAACGTAGAGCCTCACATTTGGGTCTAGGAAGCGGTTTGGATGCGCCTTCTGTGGATTTCACCTGTTCTTCCACCTCTTGGCCGTTTTTTGAATACTCTTGTAGTACTCTTTTCATATTTCAGAGGTGTGGATCCACATGCAAACCACGTGCAAACCCATTTTCTGCCAGAAAAGGCGATGGATCCCCGGAGCCTTGGCTCACCCGAGGTTTGTGGGGCTAGCTGCCCGGGTGCTGCACTGGGCCGGCGACCTGGGCCGCGCGCGGCGGAAGGCGCTGGAGGCCACCGTCTTGGAGTACGCGCCTTGGGCAACTGGGTGAAGTACTGAGCCTCGGGGCATGGAGTGCTTGACAACCATGGGGAGAACCCACAGGGGCGGCGAATTAGGGAGGCGGCCAGAAAAAGGGGGTCAGTTTTTCGCACAGGCATGGTTTTCAGAGAATGCGGTACAAGAAGGTACTTAAAGGGACGTTGCGCTTGGTGGGGAATAACTTTATGGATTTTACCCACAAAGCCACACTTTTGTCAGTCTCCGTTCTGTGGGGTTTGCCGTGGGGAGCATTTAAAGGGACGTTGTACGTCAGGTAAGTGGTTGTAACAACCATGGGGAGATAACCCACAAAAGCCATGGTTTTTAGTCTCCGGTCAGAGGGTTACGTCTAGGCTTACTAAACACTTACTAAGTATCTGATCGCACTTTTAAGCAGGTGAGGTTTGGTCGATTTGTCCAGAATTATTGAATGTTATTGGGTTGGATCTTGAGACTTGAACTTTTCTTGGTTGAAATCAAGTGAGAACTGCTCTTTGAACCCACAAACACGTGTTTTTTGTTGCAGAGGGGTTAGCAGCAACCAATAATTATACTGTCAATTTGAGAGGAGTTCCCGTAGTTTGCGATGCAGTGCCAGGCATAGCTCGATCACTAGCTTGATCAAGGCCTTTCCACCCAGGACACAAACCAAGCACACCTTGAATAAATCCACCAAGTCACCGTGGCCACACCGCCACCTGCACCACCAACAAAAGCGGTAAGAACAAAGCCATCGCACATGCTGTCAATGTGCCGGTGTCAAAAGTTGAAATATCTTCCGTGGACATGGGTAATCTACACAGTCCCTAGTTTTTGTGGGACAGGTCAAGAGTTGTAGGGGCTCAAAAGCAGTGACTGCTCAAGGCCCCCGAATTCGAGGGATCATCATCATCATCATCATCAGCAGCATTGCCATCACCGTCACCATCTGAAAATTGCGAGTTACGAGGACGTGACTGACCAAGCATCCATTACCTTGGGCCCCGTACCAGTGAAGTCGCCAGAAGGGTTTCTTTCAATCAGGAACAGTCTTGCAGGGACCCATGCATTTCCTATTGTAGGATATTCTGGTTACAAGGGGCATAGGGGCCATCAGGCCACTTGTACCAGTTTTTGGTGGTGATGAGGCGTTGCCCTGCCAGCACCTGAGCCCAGAGATTCGCTTTCTGAGTACCTTGGCGTGGCATTTTGTGGTTGCGTATGGGTACAAGTTTAGTTACTTTAGTTGTTTTGTGTGATTGCTTTGTTGCTTGGCTGGGTTGGTCGGTTGCTTGGTTTGTTGCTTACTTGGTTGGTTGGTTGCTTGGCTTGTTGCTGTTCTCTTCTGTGCCAGCCTATCTCGAGGTCCCCTGCCGCTTTAGCATGGTGGAACCTAGCCATGTATTATGGTTGCCGATGTGCTGGCTGGGGGCATGGTCGCATGTTTCACATTCTTACATGTGTCGCAACAGGTTGCATGTGATACCCTTGGTACACTGTGTGTAGCTTTGTGCCAAGCTTTTGTTTTCTCCGTGGGAAGGTATGGTGCTTGAAACTATCAGAGCCACTCCCCTGATGGAGCGCGTAGGCTCAGAAGCGAAAGGAAAAACTGGACACCCTCCCTTCCAAGAGTGGGGGGTTTCTCGGGCTAACATGTTGCAAGGATGTCCATGGCCTCTGAGGATGCCTACTTGCCCATAGTCAAAGACTCACTTCCTGAGTTCCTTGACTTATACTTTTTTGGAAGACCACTTGTGTGGCAACATTAGCGACAAAATGCAACATTGGACTCCTTTTTTTGCACATCCCCCCAGGAAGTGAGAAGAGCACTTTCCAGTAAAACAGAATTTGTAGGGGGACCAAATCCCCGTCAGGTGCCGTGGCAACGTGGGGAGGGTTTTTCCCCGCACCCTTTGCATGGAGACTCGTAGAGCACCTTTTGGGCGAGGCCAGGAGCTCCAGAACTCCAAGGGAGACGAAGGGGACGACGGCCTGGAGGCCGTGCGCATGGGCTATGGCTGTGGATGTGGGGTCGCTTTTAAGGGCTGGCTTTGTACAAAACGGCCATTTGCTGAAATGAACATGTGTGACTTTCCCCGGTTTTAAAGCAGAAAATGGAAACCCAAAGGACACCAACCAGGGTTTCCAGGGAATCTATCACTACTGGATGTTGTATCTTTGTCCAGGGGGCTTAAGCAAATGGAAGAAAACGGAAATCAAAAGGACACCAGCTAGTTGTTTACAGCCGCTTTGAGACAAACCCAGTTGTTCAGTGGCGTTCCCCTGTTGGCCAGCTTGTCAACTGGGCCACGTACACCTGTGAAAAGACAGACAACTCAATATAGAATGAGTACCTCAAGCGTACATTTCAGAAAGACCTTGCCTGGGGACACGTTGTCATTCCTTGGACATTGATACTTTGAGCTGCGAGAAGCCTTGTCGACTGTTCATAGGCCATCCTAGCCTGAATGCTGGCCCTGAGGCTTCTTGTGGGCTTGCGCGCTTTAGCCCCGCCTAGCGTTCTTCTCCTTCGGGCTTCGTGGATCATGAATCTGCAGCACGGCGCGGGGTAGGCCTGTGGAGATGATTCCCATCCCAAATGCCCAGTTCGGGCAGACATGGGTTCTTGTCATTTTGCAGTTTCTGGAAAAATGCACAAGTTCGACCATCACACAAGACTGTTCTTTCTTTGGCAGTGAAAACCAGAGATAGGCGCATAGGCGATGGGTGTGATGCCCGCCAGGAGCGACTGCAAACCCTCCAGCGGCACCTAGCGCAACTGTCGGAGGACTATGCCAAGGCCGGCCGGAGGGCCCAAAGAGCCGAGGCCCCGAGGTACTCTGAATTTTGATACAGCTATGCTTTGTTCATAGCCCAACGCGTCTCTTTGGGGGGAGCTGTTTTTGGGGGCGCACCCTTTTATCAATCAGTGTTTTTTTTTGGCGTCGAGGCTGCCTTCAGGGGATCAACTTGGTTGGACAGACCTAGGGCCTGGTGATTTGCCTAAGACCACTTCTTTTGGATAGGCTCGGCCGGTTCAAAGCGGTCGTTTTCAAGGTCGGACGAGTCAATGAGCAGTGGCTTCAAACAAGTCTGTTGAGTCGGGGTAGGTGGCTGGTTTCGCTCAGATGATGCAACCCTTTTCCAGAACTGGTTCGCAAAACAAGCTAGGAATAATTGTTAAGCCAACTTCAGACGAAATGATTATAATTATCAGTTGTCTCCTTTGTTCGGCATCCCTCCTCAGGACAAAGGCGTTCCTTGAAGCAGCGCTTTCGGACCCTGGCCAAACTAATTTGTGCCGGTCTCCTACTCCCCAAAGAGAGACAACGAGCCCACAAAAAATACTCGTTGCAGAGGACCCCTTTGGCATCTGTAGTTCGGTCCATATGCTCCACCACCCAAGTAATATATGGAATGGCGGAACCACATTTGGTCAAGTAGTGGGGGCTGCTTCCATGACCATGCTGAGACAGGTGGTGGAGGAAAACAGTGCGCTGCACAAGAAGCTGAAGGCCATGGACGAAGCTCGTTATTATGCCAAAGTGGCATGTTTAATCCCAAACATTTGGCATTTTTTAGGGATACCTCCCAAGGTTCAAACAAACATCCCAAAGTGAGATCTCTCTTGATACCTCCCAATTTTCAAGGGAAAACGCCCAAAGTGGGTTCCACCTTGTTCGGGGCCCGCCCATCATTGTGTGTGTGTGTGTGTTTTTTTTTGCCACGTGGTGAGGGACTCGACTGCCAGGCTCTCAGCGAAGAGCTCCAGTCCGCTGAGCTCCAGAAGGCTCGCGCGGTGGCGAGTCTCAAGGTGCCCTCGGGATGCGTTTCGAGTCTGTGGGTCCCAGTCCCAGCCGCGTACTTTTTCCTGGGGGGTTGGTTCCCGCTTCTAATCAAGAATCAGCCATCGTTCTAATCAAGAATCAGCCATTTCCCCGGGGCTTTCGGCGATTTTCGAGAAAGAAGGATCCCTGGAAAGAATGGGAAGTTGCCCCTAGATGTTTGCTGAAACGAATATTCCCGGACCTTCGTCCTACTACTGGAAACCACGGGAAATCGTAGGGGTCTCAAAAAAACACCTAGTAATTTTATTTCCCGGGGTTTGAAGGTCAAGGTTGTTGATTTCCCCCTGTCGGTCTTAAAAGGGCATCTATCACTACCATCTATCCCATCCAAACCTTTTTCTAGATACTCGGGTGTTCGATGCGCCAAGTTAGTAAGTAGTTGGTATCCGATCGGTTATACCCGGCGTAAATAAATGCAATCCCCGTGAATGTAGAGTTCACCTTGTCAGTGGGTAATACCCCAGGTGGCCAACCACTTGCCTACTTGGCGAATCAAACATCCAAGTACCACCTTGCCCCATGTGGCCGTTTTTGACACGGTGTAAAACATCCTTGGATCAAAAGAGGGCAACTTTGCAAGCGAAGGCCTGGCATGTTGCTTTTGTCAGCCACCTTAGTGCTGATCGAAGCTCATCTCCCCGAGGCCGAAACGGCGGAAGCCGAGACGGGCGAAACCGCGAGAGACCTCCATGCAAAGCTGCAGTTGGGTGACCAGCTGCCCCCGCTGAAGTTGCCGCCGCTTGGCTGGAAACAAAGGGCACCGATGTGTCCTGTTTCTCTTATCAAGCAGAACAAATGCAGGGGGGCAGCATTTCGGATTCACTTTTACCCTTGCCTGGTCCCCACGTGTTTTTCTAATGCATTCAAGGCTCTTTGGGCAGCTGGAGACGGTTGGCGTCAGAAGTAAAGCGGGGGACTGATTCTGGCGGAAGTCGAGCTTGGTTCTGGGAATCTGGGGTCAACTTCCCTTACCTACCAGCACCCCAAGACTGCCGCTCTTTTTTTTCAAGAATTTGGGGCATGGGAGCAAGCAGTTGTTGCAGTGGTCCTGGTACGGGTTCACTTGTTTCCGTTTTCTGCTCCAGGGCAGGAACGAGTTTGTTGAAACCGTCAGACAAACCACCACGTAGACGAAGCTCAGAAGGACTGTCCGGGGGGTCGAGGTAACTCACCTACTTCCCTTGCAAGGGGATCCAGAATCCACCCTGGCTACCCTACCCCCCAAATGTTCATTGCCTTTGGACCACTTTTTGGGGTGGCAAGGTTAACGTTGTTCCAGGGCAGGGCGTAAAACACTTTGGCCCAAATCTTCAGTGGCACTCTGCCCCCCTTCGGTAGGTTTCCCAAGAAGGCGTTCTGAAAATCGCATTCCCCGTTTCAAGAGCAAAAGGAATGGCTCTTATACGATGTTTCCATGTTGTTTGCAGAGAAGCCAAAACAAAATCAAGAGGGCTCCATTTGATTGTCGGTGCCCATTGTTGGAGTCGTCCGGGTTTTATGTCCAAAGTTTACCACACTTGTCACCCGAAAAGGATTTGGCAAATGGCACGCGGATTATTGCGCCTCGTTGTGGTCCATTTGGGAGGGACATGAATTATCACAACATTTTACCCGCAGAAAGCAGGGCCAACCCAGCCAAAACTTGCCAACCTGAAAAGCCACAATGCAAGAGGGTTTCGATTGAGGGACTGTTGCTTGACTTCAGAAAGAATGCTTGACAGTAAGCAAGGGGGCAAGTTGGTATTTGACGACTTGCGTTTCGGCCCAACAGCATGATCCAGGTGGGACATTCTTTGGTTGTTTGTTGACATGTTCCGGATATGTAAACTACCGTGTGCTACGCATTGGCTCAAAGATACTTCGCTTTCAAGGAGCCTTCATGGCGCAACGCGACCAACGATCCACATTATCCTTGTGACAGGCCCTGCGTGACGGGGCAGCCTGGAGCTGAACACTGAGATCTCCCTACTCATCAAGCCCGCGATCCTCAGGGGCCATCGGGTCCAGCTCTTGGACGGTCCTGGACCTTCGGAATGAAAACCCGCTACGTCCACGCGAGGGCGAAAGCTGGGAAGGGACACTTTCAGGGCGGCCTCTTCCTTGGCTTGGAGGACGCTATTCCCAAACCGCCCAGCGACCTGGACGTCGTCTTTGATCCCTTTGTGCCGGAGGATCGCGCCGGATCTGCTGCACCTGGAATTGAAACCCTGGGAGCACTACGACTCCAAAGCCGCGCTGGCGGAGCCGTGTCCCACGACAGGCAGTGGCAGATGCTGGACCGGAACTGGCAGCTGATTGAGCAGAATGGGCACTACAGGCCGAGCCCTACACTCTGCCCACAGGCAGAGCAGGCGTTTACGGGCGTCAACGACAAGTTCGCATTCGCGGTGGGCCAAGACCACACGTGCAAGTACCTCACTGCCTGAAGAGCAAGAGCGGCGTGTCACGTTTCTGTTGATCTTCAGTCACGTTGGTGCCAACCAGGCCTACTGTGGATGAACAAAACCCTGCGCCACCTTGAAACCATGGGAAACCATTGTGCGTTGTTATTTGCAGGGGAATCAACAATCCAGGGTTTCTTGGTGGTGCAGGACTTTGTCCATCCACAGTACTATTGCCACTGGGACCCCTTCGTCACAGACTGCAGCGGGACCCCTTCGTCACAGACTGGAGCGCGGAGTTCTGGAAGCATCGTAATGAAGCACCGATGGGAGCCAAAACGAAAAGCCGATGCCAGACCGAAAGGAACCCAAAACGAGGGAAAGCAAAACAGGGTTGCTCGAAGCGTTTAAAGACGACAGACCTCAGGAGTCTACATTTGGCAAACGGTTCCCCTTTCTTCATTTTCCGCTTGAGGGCTTCTGCAACACGGCAAAAGGACACCTTCTGGCAATAGGAGGTGCCCCTATTCAGCAGGGATCCATAAGTTTTCAAGGGGAACACCACCGGTTTAGTCATCGGGGTCAACATTCCCTCCCATATATGGTTCCCTCCCATGTATGGAAGTTAGCAAGCCCCATGTTGAAAAGCAGATTCGAATCGTGAACTCGCAGGTGGCACGTAGGTTTCTCAGTTAATCGCATCATGTCAAGTGAAAGATCCTTTTACCCCGCACTGATTTAACATGGAACCCCGAAAGTGACATAGAGCAACTCGTGTTGAAAGTGACATAGAGCAACTCGTGTTGGGTACCAAAATTCGCGAACCTTGGTTTCCGCGTGAATTTGCAATGGAGTGCGCGAGATGAGTGCGTTATTTGAGGGAACCCGTTGTAAGGTTGGCTCAAAGGGAAATCAAAGGAAAGCAATATGTTGTTTTGGTCCCTCAAAATAAAGTGTTTTTAATACATGGTGGTAGACATAGATCGGCATCCCGCCCTTCCCCCCATACCGCGGATAAACAAAATCCTGGACTCGTTCAGATGGATGAAACCCTATGAATACTGGTTATAAGCCGCCAGTGCCAACTGGTGTCTGGCGACCCACAGAATGTGTGATGCTTCAATTTCCCATGAGACCTGGGCGAATCTGCTACTCGAGATCGGGTATCGGCATGGGTTGGGATGGGTTGGCAGGGTAAGGGACCTGGATTGCTTGGCGTGTTCAGGGTGGGTTGGTTGAGAATGGGTTGGTTTGGTGTGGTATTAGGTGGGCTTGGTCCGTGTTTGGCCCTGGGTTGGTTGAGAATGGGTTGGTTTGGTATGGCTTAGGGTTGGTTGAGTGGCTAGGGTTGGTTTTCGGGTTGGTGCAGACCGGAAAATCAATGGGCTGACCCTCTGAGGAGAAATCCTGCCGAGCCTGCCGCCAGCACCTCAAGTGGCGCTGTGCTCTTCGAGGCCCGTTCTTCCCACCGCCAAGGGTCGAGTCGTGTATTGCACGGTATCTGCTTGGAGGTGGTTGCAAGTTGTTTGCGTTTTGCGAAGGATGGCTGCGCTAACAATAGTATTCCTGACGGCAACTTAGGGGTTGGGCCGGTGGTAGATTGAGATGAAACCAATCGCGGGGGGCGGGGTAGGTACTGAAAATTGTTGCTTCCCGCATCCCACACCTCTCAGGTCTGTTTTGCGCCTTTACAGACCTTGCAAACAGACATGCGTGGGTGTCCTTTTGGCCTCTCTAGAAAGGGCACCGCCACTCAATGTTTGTGGCGCATCTTGAAAAAGCTGGCAAGTGTGCCTTTCCATGATGGAAAAGGGCTTGAGAAGAGTATGAGTATCATTCTGATCTCCTGCAGGGTGTTGGGTAAGTCTATTCCTGCGCTCTTCGCATGCCCATGGATGTGTTCACGGCTCAATGTGAGCATTACATCAATGGGGCAATCCATGCCAACATGCCTTGAAACTTGTTGATCGCCAGGGAGGATAATGGAAGCTGACCCCCCACCCCTCCGCTCAGAGGCTTTGAGCAGAAGCTCCGCGTTCCAAGGCCTCCCCAAAGCCAATGGACGAAGCCTCGCCGGTGGCCTCCCCGAAAGCTGCGAAGCCCCGGGGCGCGCCCAACGCCGTGGTGAAGCCGCGGCGGACCACGTGGCACCCGCGGGCGGAGGGACCCGAGGAACATGACACCCTCCGGCTGCTGTGGGAAACTTGGCTTGAGAAAAAGAGCCGCCTTTTCGATGGGTTCTGGTGGGGAATCGTTGGGCTAAATGGTCTGCAGCAGGATGAGCAGACGGAAAATGTAACTGTTTCGCCAAGCGCTGCTAAGCTTGGCAGCAGACTTGTCTTTTGCCCAGCGGGCAGCTCTAATAAGGCTGTTCAAACGCAGTCGTGGCCTATGGAAACGTCAACTTGCGAAAATGAAGTTGAGTGAGTCAACAAAAGTAGGTTGCATCCCTTGAGACACCTCGTTTACTCAGGTGCAGCCATCTTGCAAAGCTATTGGAAGACTGTTAGAAACGATGGTCCCAACCTGACAACCCTTGGTGTGTTTCTGGCGTATTTTCCGATCTGTGGATGGGCGAAATGGCGAAATAAGAAACAAATAACCATCCACAGTAGGGGGAGTAAAAACAGACTTCATTAGGCACATGAAGTCCACCCGCCCCCCAAAACAAAAAGAAAAGAAAAGCGACTGAAGGTCGCTGGAAGCCAACCAGAGTTCCACCGGGCTCTCTGGCCTCACGTCTTAGGATGGCCTGCCGCTCTCGAGCTCGGCTTCCTTCCGGGAGGAGCTGTTGAGCCGATTCCAACTGCTGGGCTTCCCCCAGTCAAGGCGGCGAACAGTTCACGGCCAAGTTTGTAGGTTGCTCAAAATAGAGGACCTCCCTTTTTGCCCTGCTTGCAAGGGAATCACAAATTCCCCCCCCCCCCCCCAGCATTTTGAGGGATCGCAATTTGGAGGGGCTCCCATGTCCCTTGCCTGGCGAGGCTGGGGAGGCTGGTGGTGCAGGTGCACCCTGCCGGGCCCAACTCCATCATGGCTGCAGTGCAGGGCCCGGAGGAGGACATCCGGTGCGCCTCACTGGAGATAAGCAGTGCTGACTTCGGCTTTACAGCGGGACGGTCATCGGAACTCGCTAAAGGACTGAGCAGGAGACAAGTGCCCAGGTCCACTCTTTACGGCTGTTTGGTAGCGGATCTTTCTTTGGATTTTCAAGTTGAAACAGGTCGGATTTTCCATTGAACCCGCAAGTTGAACTGTTTTGGAAAGGGGTCAACAGCAACGAAGAAACCCTGAGACCTGAAAGGGGCGTTTCACGTTTCGGATGCATCCCCAGTTGTCAAGACTTCGGCCCATTTAGAGGGAAGTTCGGAGGCTGTCACTTTTCTGGACTCAGGATAATCCAGAGGATCACACTGATCAGGGGAATTCACCTAAGCTAACAGAAACCCTGTAAATACTGACCAAGAATGGTTTCAACCATAATTTCATTTCGTAGTGCGAAGGGATTTCGTCCATCCATATGTCATGTTTTGGGTCTTCGAAGCACGTGGTTTGGCAACAGGTACTTCCAGACGTTGCCTTTGGGCACGCTTGCCATGATGGGCTGCAAAACCCAGGCAGTGGGGGACATGTACTGTGGCTGGGGTGGTTGTAGTGACTGGCTTCAGCTTTGGTTGCCTGGTGTGCTTGCTACTTCTTCCTGACAAATCATCCCGGGTGCAATCACATGTACAATCCCGCCAAGCAGGAAATTCATAACTGGTGTTCTGATCAAATCAATCTTGTGCAGTGCGTTATTTGTTTGAGGCCAACTACTGCGCTGACGAACAGTCACTTCGAACCCTTCTTATGCCAACGACCTGTCTGGTAAATGCAATGCATCAGAGCGCTCCGGAAAAGGTTCTGGGACGGTTCCGTGAAAATACCTGAGAAGTTTCCGGGAAGCTCCGATGGAAGTTCCGAGGTTCTGAACAAAATCAGTCAGAATCCCTCTCCGAGAAATGCGCTCAGAACCCTTCAAGGAAGCCCTTCTTCGAAGGTTCTAAGAACCTGGGGTTTGAGGGGCATTGAGGGGCCTGCGTTTGCCTCTTGACTGCTCCAGCCATGTTGCAGCCCCAAGCGCTAAGCTACACCGTGAGGTCGCAGAATCAACACTAGCAATTATAAAACATGAACAAGTCTAGAAGCGCGGCTGGTGCTTACCTGGGGCAGTCAGAGTACGTGTTACATGTGCAGGGGAATGACATGTAGCGAGCTGTAGGACGCATGGCCTCCCGGGCAAGGCCCACTCCCTTATGCTGCCTGTAGCTTGCCAGATCGAAATTGCCTCAATTTGCGGGAATGCAAATCAGAGTGGCGTCCTTTAGCTTGGCGCGATAGGCAGGGAATGAGGGAATGACCCTTATAAAATATCCAATTGGAGGTGTCCTTTGAATAGACCCGCAGGTTCATTCCCACATTCCCTACTGAGCACCAGCAAGGAGAGTACTGCGCCGGGACGGCAGGTGCTTTCACATGGCCGCAACTCTGCGCAAGGGCCGAAGGCGCCTGGAAAAGGCGCGAGGGATCATGCGCAAACGGCTGGGTGTGCAGACCATGAGCAATGATGTTAACCAGGAAACGCTGAGGGGATGGGTAGTAGTTTGCTTTGTCTTGCCAAAATCCATGCTTGACACGGGTTCAAGGATACGCCAAGCGATGTCTGTTGTTGTGACAATCTCCTGCTTTCGGATTGATAGAATATCACTGCGCAAAGCCCTTTTTTAGGAGGAAAATAGTCTTTCTACAGGGGTCCGTGCACTTCCATGTCAGCCGGTGGGAGGGTAGTTTGCTTTTTACTCTTTACATTTTTGGTGGGGACGTAGAGCAGGTCTGAGAGACCAGACATGACGAGTAAGCGTTGGATTTCATCAATCTTACATTCTGCTAGCGACAACTTTGGTAAATTGACGGTTTTGTTTACCAGGCTTTCTGGGTTGTTCAAAATCAATCCATTGTTCAATATCAAACCATATCAACCCCATAAGCCTTGTGCCAGATAGTAGTGGCTTTTCTTGTGGCGTCCAAATTCGGATGCGGGGATTGGGCAGACCAACCCCCTTTTTGGTTTTCCCAGCTGGTTTGAGCTTGCCTTTGGCAGGCTGCTCTAGGGCCCAATGGCTGCAGTGGTTCGAGGGCACAAGCTTTGACCGCCAGCTGCTGGAGGCAAGGAAGCGCCGAGAGAGCCGCGCAAGGTCAACGGACAAAACCCCGGGGCTGAGTAGAGTGAGGCTGCTTTACTGTAGGGTGGGTTGCTGAATTGTAGGGTAGGGTGAGTGCTTTACTGTGGGGCATTTTGGCTTAAGGGTGGCTTCGGAGGTTGGTGTAGGCAACCCAGGATGAATAAGGCCCTTACTTGATTGTTCATCAAAAAAGATGGCGCCCCCCGGGAAGTGTATGCGTTGTTCAGCCCTTTAAAACAGAATCTGACGTTTGCCACACTGCAGGCTCTTACGTTCTTGCTAGCCCTCGACTTGCTTGCTGGTGTTGTTTGGCGGTTCTTGCCAGGCCGCTTTCTCCTTAGCAGACCCAGCCAGAGATGGCCTCTTGGCAGCTTTCGCATTTGTAGCATGAGGAATTGAGAAAGCCACAGTACAAAATCTGGAAGCGTTTTGCAGTGTATTTTTTGTTTACCACATGGCTTCATTTCTGGCTGCGGTACCAAGCACCACATGCCTCGTGGAGATGCAACAAATGATGCATGCGCAACATCTAGCACTTTGCACGAAGCATGTTTCTAGGCTGATTTGCGTGATTTTGCGTGCCTTTGCGCTCGTTTGTGTGTATGCTTTCTACGCCGAAGCCAACCCCTTGCCAAGGCTGGGTGGACGTGGAGAAGGTGCGGCAGGGCGGCTTCTTGGTGGAAAAGGCGAGAGCTGCACTGCGGCGGTGGGGGGCGGCCCATGGCGCCACTTGGCTGGCGGTTTGGATTTGGAGCAGGAGGGTGGGTGGGGCGGCAGGTGGTCTAAAGTTTGGTTGGGTTGGGTTTAAGGTGGGTTTGAGATTGGTTAGTTTAAGATTTGGTTGGGTTCAGATGGGTTTAGGCTGGGTGTCAAGGGTTTTGCTTAGGTGCTCAAGTGGAAGCCGAGATGATAAACACTGGGCAAAACGCAGCGACCGCGCCACCTTAGCCAATCCCATGTCGAACTGCGCCTAGGAAAACGATGCTCAACCATGCTGATCTGAAAACTAGCATGGAACTTTGCGGAATCCGCGGCATCATGATCCCCCTTGGGCAACATTAAACTAACCAAACGTCATAGAATGTTTCAGCCTGTCCCAAAAAAAAAGAAAGGCAACCCACACACACACACAAAACAACATTTTTCTGCAAATCGCTGATCTCAGAGGTGAGAAACATGGGCCGGGCGTTCAACGAAGCCGCTAAGTTCTGAGGCTATCCTGGCCAGCCCGGAGACCGAAGCGCAGCGCCCGGGACTGGATTTGTGAGGCCCTGAGAAAGGCCCTTCTGACCTTCTGCAGCTGATCTTGCTTTAAGGGGCGATGGGGTGCGCGGGTGGTTTGGCTGGCTGTAACAACCACTGAAGGGAGACTTTTAACCATGACTTTTGTGGGTTGTAACCAGGCTTTGGAAGGTGTTTTTTTGCTCAACACCGGCTCGGTGTCTAGCACCGGCTTGGGCAAGGCACGGGTTGGTTGGTTGGTTGGCTGGTTGGCTGGCTGGCCTGCTGGCCTGCTGGCTGGCTGGCTGGCTGGCTGGCTGGCTGGCTGGCTAGTTTAGCCAGCAGGCGAGGGGACAGGCGCTGAACAGGATTTCAACATGCACTGCAGAACCACGCAGAAGGAAGGCTTTCAAGATCCACGGAGCAGATGCCAGCTAGCCGCCTGTGTATATCTTGTTTTTGTGCAGCACGAGTGCCTTCTCAATGTAAAAAGATATGACTGTAAAGAATCCATCTTGACTTGCCTGCTACTTTACGGCTGCTTGGCTGAATTTAGGCTACCTTTCAGGGCCCCAAGTCCCCTTGCGACTCGCTACAGGCGCCTGCCGTTGCTTTGCCTCTCGGGTCGCCCTTCGAGACTTGTGAAGTGTTCAGGCCGGTCACCAGACTCGGACCAAAGCAAATTGTAGTTTGCCCATCCTAGCTTAAACTTTGGCTTAAACGTCAGGCGAAGCCCCCTGCTCTTGCCATCAGCGGTCGGGAAAACTTTGCGCAAATAATTTCATTTTACAACTCCCCTTTTCAAGACTCCTTTTGGTAGATGTCTGTTTACCCGGGAAGCACATCTCAGAAGGTCTGACTGATTATGGGATTCCATCTTGTCTCCCCGCCCGCCTTCGCAGCCTTTGGCGTGGATTCTAACTGAGGACCAGGGAGGAAGACTTCCCCTTGCCCCTCCGGCACATGGCCGCTGCGCAGACGGAGCTTGCGGCGCTTGCAGCGCGGGCCACACAGACGGAAGAGCTCCCGCGGATCTCGGGAGTCTCGGCCGACGCGAATTGGGAGTTTCTGAAAATGAAAGTTGGATTTCCGACGGCTGGTTAAAGGAAAACCCAAAGGACGCCCGACAGGACACCATTTAAATGGTGGAGCCGCATTCGGTTAGACTTTGAATTAAAGGGAAACCGAAAGGAAACAAACCGCTTTAAGGAGACCACTATTTTGAGACACCCCGACTGGTCCAACCGGAGTCCGACGGAGTGGCCCGGTTTTTGGCTGGGCTGGTGTTATTTAGTGGCGCCTTTACCCACGCGACATGGGTTCTAGGCTTGGGAAAAAGCCCAGATCATGTCTTCACCCAGAGCCTCTCGCTGCCATTCGCATGTTCCCTGGACAGAAGAAACGACCCGCTTTGTTAGAGGTGGAGGCTGCGAGGAAGCGAATCCCTGCGAATGACCGGCATGGAGGCAACAGCAGGGGATGCAGTAAAAAATGAATCGATCCCAAACCGGGTGGTTTCTTTATGGTGTCTCTTCAAACCAAGCTGAAACGGGGACCCGGACGCTCAGACAGCCAACGCCCATCGATGTAAATGTATGAATTGTTGCATGTTACACAACCATCCATCGTTGAGGCAGCAGTACTCGGAGCAATGACCACAATGAGAGGTCCACAAGTTGAGTATCAACTAAAGCTGATTGTTCACTGCAAGGCCACAGAAGTTGTGTATTCAACACAGCGCGCGTAGCATCAGGTTTATGCTGCCATGAAGCGGCAATTGAAGGACCACCTTTTGCGACTGCACAGCAGCTTGCTTCTGGCTGTTGCATGTCCATAATTCCTTCGTTCCGGCTCTCGCTGCAAGAGGTGTTCGCCCCGAAACCCAGTGTTTTTCAGTGAAGCATAGCCGCACGTGTTTCACGGAATGCCTTTCGCCTTCAGCATTCCCATTCTCTCGGAATCGAAGCCGTCGGGCGCTTTGGTCGATGTGTTTCGAAATCGCATTGCATTTCACTCGGGGCGACGGACCAAGGGGAGTTTCAGCGAGTCACCAGTGGCATCCGAGGAAGCGCCGGCTCCCCGAGAGCGGCAGGTGGTTCCTCCCGGGCGCCGGAGGCGCCGGAGGCGCCAGAGGCGGGCGCGGAATCCGGCAGTCAGGCGCGAGCGCAGGAGTCAGCGAAGCCGGAGGCGGAACCTCCGCATGCAGAGCCTGCCACACCGAGAGCTGACAAGATGGAAGCGGCACCAGCCGTGAGGACTGAAGGAGAACGGCAGCTGAGTGCATCAAAGCCTGGGGAAAAGCCGCAGGAAGAGAAGCTGGGAGAGGCTGCAGCAGAGCAAACAGAGCCACAGAAAACCGCGTTGCCTGAAGCAAGATTGGCGGAACCAGCAGCGCCAAAGCAAGCACCAAAGCAAGCACCAAAGCAAGCACCAAAGCAAGCACCAAAGCCGGAAGAAGCAACGCCGCCCCAGGAAGCAGCACCAGCAAAAGCATCAGCAGAAGCGCGAGCAGAAGTACCAGCACAAGAGCAAGGGCCGAAGCCGGAAGAAGCAACACCACCCCAAGATGGAACACCACCCCAAGAAGCACCAGCACCTCAAGAAGCACCAGCACCTCAAGAAGCACCAGCACCCCAGGAAGCACCACCTCCGGCACCACCACCCCAGGAAGCACCACCGCCCGCACCACCACCCCAGGAAGCACCACCACCACCCGCACCACCATCCGCACCGCCACCCCAGGATTCTCAGGCAGCAACACCGGGGGAAGCGCCACCGGAACCGGCAGTAGCTGCACCCCCGGAAGCAACACCTGCGGAGGCACCAGACCCTGCGGGGAAGCCGGAGCACGACCAGCTCCCAGAAGAAGCCGCAAAGCCGGCAGAAGCCAAACCACCAGAAACAGAGAAGTCGAAAGAGAAGGAGCCGGCAGCAAAGTCGGAAGATAAAAGGGAGGGAGACGCAAAACAGCAACCCTTTGAAGGAGCACAGCCAGCAGAAGTCACAGCGGAAGCAGCGAAACCACAAGGGGAAGCGCCGCCAGAAGCAGCAACACAGGAAATAACACCGCAAGAAACCGCACCAGAAGCACCTGCAACAGAAGCATCTGCACAAGGGAAAGAGCCAGTGCCACCTGCCGTTGCGAAGCCAGAAGCCAAACCCGAAGACACGGGGCAGACGGCAGCAGCAGCGACTGGAGCGCTGGATGCAGATGTGCAGGGACCGGCACAGGACTGAGGCCCCGTTCAATGGCAACTGGTTTCCCTTGCTGGCTCCCCACTTGCACAGGTCAGCTGAAAAACTGTGACCATTACCAGGGGCACTGGTTTGGGAGTAAGGGCACTGGACCAGGTGCTGAGCAACGGGAGGGACACAAGCTATCAAAGTACGTTTCTGACCTTTTACTTTCCAATTTGTGGTCCAGACGGTGGCAGTACGCAAAAAGCTGAGGGTCAGGTTAGGATAAGGAAACCGACCCTGTCACCACAGGAAAAGCCTAGCCCACCCCCCCTTCCCCCTGCGCAACCCAATAATGGTTCTCAGAGAGGTTTACCAGAACCAACCTGGTCTGTAGCGGGTTTCGATGACTCGCCCTTGCCAAAGTTTGGCTTCCACATACCTGGGCCCTCCAGGTGTGCAAAATTTCCGCCGTTTGGCGAAAAAAACACTAATTTCCGCTGCTTCGCTTACCCAACCGCTGCTCTCTTTCAGGATTGCCGCGAAGCGTGCCAGAACCAGCGCCTTTTGGACCGTTAAAAGCGCTTGTTGACCGAGGAGAAGCACTTTTCCAGCGCAAGCCCAATCAAGAAAACATGCATCACTGGGAAAAGCCCGCAGCTAGCAAAAGCGCCTTTTCAGCCAAAAAGCACTTTTTCTCGAAAGAGCACAAAAACGCACACCTTGGAGGATCCAGGTTTTGGCTTGTTCACAAGTAAACCCATTGCCGCTTTAGTGCAAAAGATGTGTGAGCATGAGCCAAGTTGCTCAAAACAAATCCATGATGCATGCCAGGTTGAAAGCACATGTCGAGGCTCATGCCTCTGCCGCGGGGGTCGCTCGCAAATCGCCGGCAGGAGGCCCTTGGGGACTCCGATCACGAAGTGGATTCCGAGATGAGTTGGTGATGGTCGCTCATCGACACGAGCCGATGATCGCCACTGGAGAAGCCAAACCGTCGCCGTTGAAGATGGCCGCCAAGGAGTGCAAGCACGCCCAAGCAATGTCCATGTTGCACACGCTTTGAGAAAACACATTCGGGATGTTGATTTTGTGCCCTGACAGGATCCCGTCCACGAGTGGCAAGACTGTCGTGCTATTCTTAGGTGCCCATTGCTGGTGTCGTTTTAATGGGAAGCCAAGAGCACACAACTCATTTGAGGACAGACCTGGATATAAATATATATATACATATTATAATATGTGGTCTCCTTTGCCTGTTACCCTCTCACCAATGAACATGGAACCTGACGTTCGGAACCCGGTCCCTATAAGAGGAAAACAATCCAAACCAGGACCCCCCGAACGTGAGGTTCCATGTTTGGTGGGAGGGTAGCTCAGCCAAGAAAAGCATGTGAGGACAGGTCTGGGACATCGCCACAACTTGCATCGGATCCATGGGATTTGCAAGCCTCGAAGGCGTTTCTGGAGGCGCGAGGCGAGGTTCCTGTTGGCCGCTTCGCCATTGCCAGCGCCTTGACTGAAAGACTGGCTTGAGTTGATGATAGACTTAGGTGGGGTACAGCGATGTAGAGTCACCCAGCTGATTGAAGCTACTGCACCACCAGGGTAAGCTCAGGTGAGCGTCAGGCATTTTGACAAGTGACCTTTGGTAGCATCACATTCGCTTCCTTTGCAGTGATCGGTGACCTGGCTCTCATTGTTTGTTGTTGAGCACTGCTCCTACTTCCATGGACGGAATACATTTGAGAATGCTTGGGTGGGACCACCCTCTCAGACTCCCTGCCATGTGTCAGCCCAACAGGCACCACGCTTTCCCCTGTGGGCAGCAACCCATGCGCTGCCCAGCAGTCTGAAGGGCGATGTCAGGAATCACCCAGGCCCCCTTTCGAGCATGTGTGGCTGCAGGAAGGTCCCGAAATGCCGACACATGACCGTGGCGATGTGTCTATGCTTGAGTGTGTAACTATTGGCACTTCGGATTGCCTTTGGCTGGTCTGCGGCTACTTTTTTAGACAGCGCTGGAGTACCCTGAGCACCCGAGCAGTCATCGCAAGAGTCGCACAAAGCCTAGGGAGTGAGCGCGAGCTGAGTGTGAGCATCAGCATCTTCTGGACACGCTGACGCTGTTTCACATTTGGGGAGGCGTAGCATGCTGACGCGTCAGCGCGATGAAAAATGATCCGACCCCTAATGTACACCAATGGGTTGTAACTCCTAGGAGGTTTCGGGCGCTTACTTGAAGTACACGTGAGGTTTGGTCGAATTGTCTGTGGCTCATTTGGGAAGGAAACTCACAATTGAGAATCCAGGGGGGCTCAAGTCCCATGTCCCTTGTCCCACCTGGAAGAGCGGTAGCCGTTGTTTTCAACCGGCTGATTTGACCCCTTTCGTCGGTGCCTTTGCCCGAACCGAGGCCCCCGAAGCTCAGGTGAAGCGCGAGCTCCTTGAGCTGGAGCCCAGCTGCTGGACCGCATGGGCCCAGAGCTTTGGGCTTCCTTCCATATGCTTCGGGCCGGGTGGACAAAAGCAAAGCACGCAAGCAACCAATGACGCAACCAAGCAAGCAGCCAACCAAGCTGCCAGTTCAAGTTCTTTTCTCTTATTTTTTTTTGGTTGAGCTGCTTCGGATGTTGGTGGAACAACACAAGTTGGGCATGTTTCAGTCAATGGTCCAAACAAATTCTTGGTTTTGAGGATTTTGCACGATTTGTTTTTTGACAGGGTGGCGTTTGAAGGGGAAGTAATTACTCTTGGCCCTTGCTGCTTTCAAATTTGAACCTTGAGCCTGTTTCGTTTTTTTTTCTTTCCGCAAGATGTCCTTGTTGGCAGCTTTTCCATCCGGAAATTCACATGATTGATTGGACGGGTCGAATGGGTTGTGCATCAGTTAGGGCCTGCACGGCTCACCATGCATCCTTCCCAGTGGAAACCCGCCGTTGAAAGCCCCTTGCTGGATGTCCGCTTTCCCTGCATCCGAAGCGAGTTGAAGGCTTGCCGGTGACCCTTGAAAGTGGACAGTTCCCTCTGCCAAGATGCAGGACTTTGATCTCAAGAACGGCTCCGGATGCATATGCCGTGCCCCATGTACAACGGGAGGGAGGGTTTTTCATGAACACTCCTCCCGTGCGGATTTGGTTACGACACCCATGTCGCCAAAAAGCAACTTACGCCCCATCAGTTCAGGATATCCTGCAGTAGTTGCACAGGCCTGCGCATATCACGTCATCAGGGAGTGGTGGTAGCCCAGCCCTCTGAAGAATACCGGACCTGGGGAGACTGTGACCAGCCTCCGGAGGTCCGGCGTGCAGCACTTGGGTACGGCATCATCTCGTAGATCTGCGTGGCGTTCTGCAAGCCATAGCCATGTGGGAGTGGTATTTTTCATCGCCCGGCGGAATCATCGCCTCCAGCGGCCGCCTCTGGCTCTTCCGACTTCTGCCCGGCTCCAACCACTCTTTGACTGGCCAAGAGGTCTTGTCCTCCTTTGCCACGCCCCCTCCGCTTGCGCATTGGTTTGGGGGTGGCTCCTAGCCTCATGCTCCCTCCACCTCCGGTAGTCCTGATGTGGTCCCTCCACCCCGGCTTGTGCTGACTGTTCTGCTGATCGTCGATGATGTTTCCTTGGCCAGTACTTCTTCTTCTTCCTCATCTTCCCGCGACCTCATAGCTCTGATCTGTGGCAGGAACCGGCTATGGCACGCCAGCTCCACCAGTGTGTGCAGGACGATGGAAAGGATGCTCACCACTGTCATCAGGGCCTTCAAGGTGCCAGTTCGGATCGCCGCCCTCCTCGACTTTATCTTTGACCTTAGAGATCATGCTCACGAGTGCAATCACCTTGATCATGGCCGCCGCGTTAGCAAAGCAACCTCCTTGGTTTCCTTTTCCTCGCTGGAGTCCTCAAGTGTCCACAGTCGGCGCAGATCATCGATGCGCCTTCCGGCGACGTTTTCGTTCTCAGCATCGTCTCCCCCATCACATAGTGGATTGACCAGCTCTCGTCCATCAGCCTCCACGTCCGGACCATCCATCAGCCTGAGGCGTCTCGTTCTCCAGCTCGAAGCAATCGCGATCGCCGCAGAGCTAGCCGACAAGAGCTGCCTCTTGTAATTGTGACCAATCACCTCTTCGTCTCCGAGGTCTCCGAGATGAGGGCTTCCACACTCTCGCTCATGATGATGCCCTTTATGAGTTCCGCTTCTCCTGTCGACAGCGTAGGGCTACCCTACCTTGAGCTCTTCCATGCCTGGCTGACTGGCGGCTTGGCTGGCTGGCTGGCTGGCTTGCTTGCTTGCTTGTCCGCTTCCTTGTTTGCTCGCTTGCTTGTTTGCTTGTTTGTTTGGTTGGTTGGTTGTCTGTTCTTGTCCAAGAATGTGTGAACCCGAATCGGGCCCGGCAAGCAAAGCGTCCAACCCCGCGCTGGGTGTAATGCAAGTTGCGCCCGAAGGGAGGCAACCGCTCCTTGCTTGGGAATTGTTTGGGCGCCATACGTTGCATAAACACAAAGGTCCCAAGTCAAGAATCCATTGATGAAGGGCGGGGAGGAGAAAGGAACCCAAACAAAAGGGCTCAAAGTTTGGATTCTGTCGCTTTCGCAGACAAGCCTAGTGGCAACACACACACACACACGGGTTTGGCGAGTTTTGGTGGCCAATCACGTTCCAGCTGTGAGGCTCCTCGCTGCGTGTGGCTGATCCGCCGCAGGTAGGATTTGGGGGTGTTGGGGGGGACTTTGTGGGCTGAATGGGAGCCCAATTTGCGAGTGTGGGACTATTGTTCTAGTTTTTCTCTAAATTCAACATCAGGGACATCCAGACCAAAGGGAGTGTCATGGTGTGTCTCAAAAGGGGGACCCCGCTTTAGGTGGGTGCTAAGGAGAAGCAACAGCAATCAAGCCCAATTTGGTGGTTGCAGCTCACCCCGATTTAGGTCCTACGCAATACCGGTATTGAATTATTGTACTTGAAGGTGGCTGCGCGGTGTGGGCCGTCGTATTTTTTACGGTAGCACCCCAGCAGACAGCAGCACGCTGCTACCAGCTGTTGCCCCACCGTCTAGCAAACATGTTGCGTATATCCGTTCTTTGAATTTTGCGGGGACTAAGCCGCAAGGCCGTCGTTCGTGCGATGGCTGCACGCTGTGAGGCTGTAAGGTCTACAGGCCTTGGTGCATCGGCAAGGGGGGGATGGAAATGAACTATCACCTAGACCTTTAGTGGGGCCTTTTTGTTGTTTTTGTTGCTTGGAGGGTGCAAAAAGGGGGCCGCAATTGAAGCTCCCCTAGAACTGAAGATCCGTTTTGTTCAGACTTGGGGCCCTGGCATGTCTGAACGGCAACGCAACGGTATAAAAGACTGCCAGACTTCCAGGCCAAGTGTTGCCTTGGTCCTTTGCAATCGGTGCCTCATATTTGACGTTTGGCGTGCTACGAATCCTGAAACATCGCGAGATGTTTTGCTCGCATTCGTTTCCCCAATGCGTCAGCGTGCTGAGCCAAGCTTCAGCCCCCCACCTGCAAGCCCGGTCCCTTCCTCTGTTTCTCTGCTAGTGACGACCTCTGATAAAAGTGAAGGAGAAACAACCCAAAGTCAATCAGGGGCTTTCCGATCTTGGGTTCCCTGCTGCAACCCACGAACGCCCATTACTCTCGCATGCTCCCGCACTGGAGGTGGAGGAGGTAGCTGACGCATGCGTGGAGGAAGTGGAGGCAGAATGGATGGGGAGGCATCGAACACGGTTCCGTTCCTAAGATCTAACTTCAAGATTCCAACTCGAATCAGACTTTGCAAATACATGCATGCCATGTCTATGCCTGTGAAGGCCATTCGGAACTGTGTCAAAAACAAGGTTCCAAGAAGAGGTTAGCCAGCAGCCCTCAACCATTCGGCTTGTGTTTCGGGGGCGTTTCCTTTCGGCTGATTGATCCATGGAGTTACGAGCCAAACAGGCTGGCGAGGGCGGTCCTTTTCAGGCTTTTGATTTCAACTTTGGATTGATCTGGCCCCAATTTAGCCCATGCGGGGAATTCCTTTGATAGTATGTCCTTTGGTGCGCATGGACTGGCTGGCCTGTGGCTGATTTGCTTGAATAGCTTCAGTTTGTTGGGAACCCACATGGAAAACGTCCAATTGGCCCCTGGTGGACCCTTACTGGCGTCCTACGAACGGTGCTAGTGTAGTCGCAATATTAATTGCCTGCCTGTTGGGTTCTCCGGTTAACAGCTGGGGACAGCTACTACTACGTCCGCTATTCGCTTGTGAGGGTCCTGCCGCTCAAACTGCACTGAGATAATCCCAGCTTTTGTGCCCAGGACAGGCAACCTGCAGGGCCGCCGGGGCCCTCAAATGAAAGAGAAGCTTCAGGCTTTAGAGAGGAGTTTGACCGGTTAGCAAGGTGGGGGGACGCAGAGGAAGAAAGGAAGGAAGGAAGGAAGTTCGAATTAGTTGAGAAAGTGCTCTCCCCTTTCCGGGCCCAAACAGGCCAAACAAGTTAACGGATGTTTGTTTTTAAGTAGGGAGTTACAAAGGGAGCTGCAACCTTCTGCTTTCTCTCAAAAACTCATTCTTGGTGACGGGAAGACACGTTGGCGGAGAATTCGCAAGGTTAGTTTTTGTTTCAATTGGGGCTACTCCATATTAGTATTGGGCCAGGGTTTCGGACAAACATATTCGGGGAACCTTGACTACCACGGGAAACGGAATACCGGCAGAAGTTGACCCTTTTTTTTGTTTTGTTGAATGCTTGCTCGTTTTCGCGCTTATTTTATCTTCCAACGAGCAGGGTCGGCTGAGCAGAAAGTGGGTAGGTAAGCAAGCATGAGGTGTTTTGAGCACAATCGGCCGTTTGCAAGACGCAACATCTTACAGTTGCATCCATGCGTCAAGGCGGCATGATGACTTATATGATGTTGCAATATCCAACATGTTGGGGTTGCGTCGTTTGACTTAGAAGGGAGGTTGCGCACAACGCGTGCCCTCATCCATGTCGAATAGTCCAGCCTTCGAGGGAACAACAAAAAAAAAGCAGCTGGTGTGCGAAGGCGGGACACGTTGTCCAGTTTTTGCACGTTGGCCTTTGTGGCACATGGCTTGCAATGCATGCACGTCTACACGAGGATCAGTTTAGAAACGGCCATGTTAGGCCCTGATCCCAAGCTGCCTTTGCAGAAGCACTAGCTTTGTTAGACTGCGGAAGTTTGTTTTTGAGGGTACCCCCTGTCGGTTGGGTTTGAATAGAAACCAAAAAGTATCCATCTTATGGGTACCCTATTTTAACACACGCCCAAGTAGCCTCTCAAAAAGTGATGCTTGTTGACAGACTGGAACAAGCTGAGATGATGTGCCTGCTTGCTTGATCATGCTTGTCTTGCTGGTTCCACTTTCACAACAATCACGAATTGCCCACTTCATTTTTGAGGTCGGTTGACATGTGTCTCGCGTTTTTGCTCTCCGGCTTTATCTAGGCTTGCTTGCTCATGGGTTCTCAATGCTTGCCTTCACGTGCTTCAGCAAGCACATGGCCCGCCCAAGTCGCAAAGCAGGTGCGCAGATCAAAAAATGACACCTTCGGCGACCCACATGTTTCTCGAAGCTCGTGTGCTTGCTGCTAATCCATTTGGATGTTGCATGCATTGCAAGGTCCTGGCAAAACCTGTTTTTTTGATGAACGGACTCCATCTCCAGAACTCCAAGCCTTAGATTGCTCCAGAGCAGTCGGCTCTCCAGTCCAACCCCCAAATTCGACTGGAAGGGGCGCAGGCGTAGCTGTCACACTGGCCCAGGCCCTTTCTTGCTGCCGAGCAGTTTGAGGGTGCGAAAGCAGGCGAAGCCGCTAGACACGGCATGTAATCTGGGCAAAATCAAACATAGTGGTCTCACCTGGTGTAAGACTAGAGGGTTCTCTTGTTGCTTCCTTTGTTTGTGCTGATTTAGCAGGTAAACTAATGTGGTGCAAGTCGGTATATTCAGTTTGGTTGAAGCAACTGCTGGCAACAGCAAGCATGGTAGGTATTTGGTAGTCATGCTTTGGTCCTCATGACTTTTCTTGCTCCTTGAGCAATGTTTGAACACCTTATTGGCAGGTTTCTGTTTGGCTTCCGTAAAGAGCTGCAACTGTAGCCAGCTTGTTTTGCTAAATAGTGGGCCCATGAAAGGGCATATTTGTTTGACTGGCCAGTTCCAGCAGCAAAGGCGGTGGCTGGTCTGTTGTTTGACTGCCTGGAAGACTTGCGTTGTCATTTGCAGCTGGGCGCGGTGTGTGTTTGTTTAAGCACCGCCTGCCCTTGCTTGAGATGACCCGTGTGGGTTTACAGCACCAAGCGTTCTAACGATTCAGTGCCCGCCCTCCTTTGTATTTTTGGGGACTGGCCCAGTCCTTCCACTTACTAGCATGTGTCCACAAGAGAAAATGCAGAATCAGATCCACCTTGCGTGGGATGTTCAACCTGGTTGGGTGTGAATCGCTGGCCGTTTTCTCCGTACGAGAAGTTTTGACCCTGGCAGGTTACTACTTCGGCACAGGTGAGGAGGGCCTGGGCTACTACCGGGACCTGAGGCAGCGGAGGCGGGCCGGATGGGTGAAGTTCGTTGGGTTCAAGAAAATTATGTTGGTCAAAATTAAGCCACCAGGAATTGGACCGCAGGTTTGAATGTCCATGTTTCCACTTACCAGGGCACGCCATTGTGGGGTTACCCCATTTTTGACCCATTCCCATTTGTTGTTGAGGGGGCGAGGGACGTGTCGTGTCCATCGTTTTGATTCATCTCCATTTTGGGGTGGGGGGGAGAGGTCACACGGGCAGCGTATGTTTTCTTGTTCAAGGGATGAAGGCACACATCTTGGTCGTGACTTTTTTTTGCAACATGGGAAGGCGATGCCTGCAGTCCGGCCCCACAAGGGCTGGCAGCCTCACTGCCTTCCTGAATTCGTTCCTCCCCCTTGTCATTGCCTCAAGCCAACATTTGCTGATTGCTGACTTGCCAGACTGCAGCTTAAAGGAGATAGCTCGGCTTCCGTATGCCCTGACAAAGGCACGGGTCCCTGTTTACTTTCAATGCAACGTTTGTGTGTCTCATTCATGTTGCTTCTGTTATTTTGGTGACTAATCAGGGCAATCCGCAGGAGGTTTAGGACCCTTCTAAGAACCTCTGCCAACAGAGCGTTTGAGAAGTTGGGACCCCCGCGCGGTTCGCAAAGGGACTCACTTTCTCGGACCCCCCGAGGCCAGACAGACCGGTCAAGCCCCCGGAGCCGGTTCCTCCGGCGGGGCCGCTGGTAGAGGAGGCCTGGTCCAACCGATGGGCTCTTCCAGAAATCACAAATCCCCAAAGGGCACCAAGACCTGCATGTGTTCTCTTTTTTTTTTAACTTTCATACTCCTTTGTTTGTAAGCTTTTCCATGGTCAAATGTCTCTGGGTTACACCGCTTGAATGAGAACAAGTTCCAGACATATGAACACGGTGTTTCATCCAGACGTCATTATCTGACCCATTTTTTGAGACAAATGGACCCTCTGTGACCCGTCCCAGAGGCAAGCCATGTAAAGGTGAACTCATGATGGGCCAAGGCCAAGCGTTCCCCAATCTCGTTCCACATGGGACCCCCCCAAAACCTGCCTTAAGAAAGCACATATGGTTGTTCTGTAATCGCGTTTTGGAGAACCCCTTTGTTCGCGGGTCCGTGTCGATTTGCAGGCGGGGAGCCTTTGGACAGCGAGAACATGTGCATAACCAGGTACCACGAGCGAACTGTGATTCAAGTCTCGCTTGTGGTGATATTTTGGTGGCTCCTTCGATGTGCCCCTTTGAGTGGCTCAAGATTGCGCTGCCCTTGATCATGGGTGTATTTTCACGCACTGCTAGTTGTAGATGGGTGAAGATTTAGCACTTCCAACAAGCAACATGTTTTGCCAGACAGCATCCTGCTCTAAGCAGGCGAGAGCCTTCAGGGCGGCATTTGGTGCAGGATGAGAGTGTGTTTCAATCCGTCGATCACTACAGCTCCAATTTTTTGGGACGGCATAGGGACGCTTTGTGCCCCCATGCCTGCTTGGAGAAGGAAGCAACATGAGATGTGATGGACGGGGGGGGGGGGAATTACTGAATGAACAAGAGCTGACTAGGAAAAGGTCGAGTAATGAACCGAGTGGTCCCAACACCCCTACTGCACCCTCGCCGACTCCCTCATTGTTCTCTTACTATTGTATGGAAGAGGGGCAGAGATGCAGAGATGCAGAGATGCAGAGGGGCGGGGGGTGGGGGTGGGGGGGACTGCTGAGATAGGCCTCTCTCCTGCATGTAGTTTTTTTGGGGTAAAAGGAAAGCCAGACGTGGTGCCGTGCTTTTTCCTTTTGAAGGGTTCCCCTTGATAAGGCCCAACAAAAAGCGTGCCAGTTCTCCCTTGGTCGGGGGGCTCCGACATTCTTCCCGGGGATGCAGGTGGAGCCTCGCTATGCCGAGCTCCCGGCCTATGCCGCGCGATATTTGGAGGAGCCGTGGAACTCCCTCGTTCGGACTTGACGAAGTTAGGCTCATGGCCCTTTCTTGGGTCGCAGTCACGGAGCATCGCATCTTCTTGTCTTGAAAGTGGCAAAGTAGAAGTAGGGATGGCCCACGTTGGTATCGCAGGAAGGGCAATTGTCCACAATCACGTTCTTGTTCGTTTTTGCATGTTCAAGGTTCTGAAAGCATTTTCCAGATGGTTTCACGCAATGTAGTGCATGGCATGGCTGATCGACAGTTCAAAAGTCACGCTGGACACCTTGAAGCCACTCACCGCCTCTTCTGTTGAGGTCCAAGGCCCACACTCCCGCCAAATTATTTGGGTCAAGGGGGTGCTTCTGGCAATCTGCGCTCCTGAACCATTTGTGCGTTCAATGGCTCAACTTCGCTCGTTTCTTGAACGGAATCCGTGGTGCTGTGTCACGGCGCGGGTGTCGCGGCGCGGCTCAATCCTCAGGAGGTGGACGCCCTATCCATGCGGCTCCCAGCGGAGGAGGCGGAGGTGGTGAAGGAGGAGAAAAGGGATTTGGTGGCTGTTCTTTGCCCGGTGGTTTGCTTGACTGCTAGTGGGTTGGATCTTTAGACTTTAACATTGATTGAATTCAAGTTGGGTTTTCCACTAAACCCCCCAAAAGTTGTCAACTTTTTGCAGGGGGGTCAACAGCAACCAAGTTTGGATGCAAAGTCAAATCCGATGCGGCAGCCTACAAAATGCAAAATCCATTAGTTTTTTTTTTTTTTTTTTTTTTTTTTTACGGGGAAACCACAAGAGAGTGAACATATGTATTTTCTCCGGACCCAGCATTGAGGTACCCAACTTGGTGTTTTTGCAAATGTAAACAACAAGGAACCTATGTTAAACTACCCTGACCCCCTGTTTGACACACAGTCTGCAAATTGTGATTATTCCGCCACCCTCAAAGCACTGCGTGTCATGTTGCGGGGGAACCGCATATTTTGACCGCCGAAGGTAAGATCGGGAGATGCCGTGCAACTCCCGTTGGCCAGACTGTTCCTCAGCGGGTGTGTTTGGAAATGGGCGTGGCCAAAAATGGTTCATCCCGTTTTGTGCAGGCAAGCAGGACATCCACTGTAAGATCAGGCCGCCTGATTCTTGGAAACACACAACTCGACCGGTAGTCCTTGCCGACTTGTGGTGAGCTGCACTGTGCTTCCATACAAAGGGTTGGAAAGGCAAGCGCAACCTCACTGGCTGACCTTTTTAATTCCTCATTTTCCCACAATATTGAGGGAAACTGTCCACAGATTTGGGCCAGAGAGCAGCATGGGAATTATGAGCGCTTCAGCACTCGCATCTTTGTTTGAAATTATTTTGAACTGGGGGGGGAACTGAGGTAGTGTGAACGTTTAGTCCTTGTCCTGCACAATTTGCGCAGATAGCTTTTGTCCTTGAAGTTGAAGTGGCTGCGGTGTTCGCAAGGCGGAATTCACGCTGGCACGAATGTTCCCACCCTTGGGCTGATGTTCGTTCGGCTGGCTTTTGCCAGACAAGCCAATGGGCAAACAGGCCGTGGCCACGATGCTAGGGATCATTGGAAGTGTAGATTGGGCGCCCAATGCAGGCTCTTGCAGCAGACGCGCAGACGAGATGATGATTTCATGATTTCCGTTTCCCAAGATGGGGCCTGAAGATGCCTCAAGGCTTAGTTGCAGAAACCCATCTTTGGGGCCTGAAGGCTTAGTTGCTTAGTTCCAAGAAGGAGGGGTGGGATCCTATGATTCTACCCATTTCGACCGTCAGGAGCCCAGCTTGGAGTATCGCTTGGGTCGGCAGAACCTCCTGCTGCGCATAGCCCTGGGCGAGGACAGCGGCATGCTGGCAACTACTGCAGATCTCACTCTCTGAGTTCATGGACTTTCAGAACTTTATAAGCTTTCTGGGAAGATCTTTTGTGTGGCAAACAAACAGTTGGGACCTTTTTTTTGGCCCTCTCCACTCAAAAAGTGAGGGATGCGCAAAGTGGACTTCGCTCCAGTTGCTACCAGGACTCCTAGCCTTTCATTCACCTCACCCGGTGCAGCATTTGGTTCATGCAGTATGTTAAGGTTAAATCCCAAATCCTCCTGCATGGCACGCGGATATTCAACACGCGGTTTTCCCTGAGTGGTTGGGCTGGGTCAAGATGTAAGCGGATTGATCCACAAGTCTGGGCTCACCAGCTTGCGGTAGGGCAGCGAAAAACCGAGTCGAGGGAGCGAGCTGCGGGAGAGGGCTGCGAAGAGCTGGAAGGGGGGGGGTCCTTTTTTGGATATTCATGTGGGTATAGTTGCCTCCCGAAACCCGCCCTGATGTTTGGAAAGAGGGCACGCTTGGGCCTGTTGTTTGACTGTTTCACGGTGTTTTCCCTTGTGAGTTACAAGTTAGAAGGGATGGCCGATGGACCACATTGCTCAAATCGTATCCCAGTTGTTCAGCGGCACCCTGGCTTCTGTCTTTTTCGAGGTTGCTTCCCCACTAACAAACGAATGGTCAACCCCAAAACGGGTCTCCTTGTTCCACCAGCGCAATTGCCGGCCTTGAAGCTGGTTGCTTTTTTGATCGACAGGAAGACGCGGCGGACTTGCGACTCAGCCTCGTGGGGCGGCGCCTGATGATCTCCTTCTGCTCGCGGTGCCTTGGCTTTGAGCACTGCCTAAAAGTTTTTTTAAGTGTACGACTGATTGGAGAAACCTGCTGCAGTGGCTGATGTGCGCACGCATACACAAAGAAAGCAACCATTGCAATGAGTTGAATTGGCTTTGGAGGGCTTTCGTCAGATTTGGCTCGGAGTGGCCATAGTCGATGCGAGGCCCGCTCAAGGCGTGGAATCGCAACATGAGAGCGAGTGGGTGAGTTTGTGCGTCGGCATCGTCCCTTTGAGGGTTGGGCCCGGTTACAGGAACCAATCTATGGAGTCGTGCATTTTTCGGGACAATTCCGGAAAATGCCCAACTCGATTCTTTAGCTTTCCGCAATTGTCTCCCTCACAAGGCCCTAACTTTCCTTGCTATTCTTGTTGAATCATTCTTGGAAGAATCTCCAAAGTGAGGTTGCTGTGCCATCTTGTGCCAGCTTCCGAATTGCACTTGAGGCTCGAAGTTGTCAACATCCGGTTTGGGTTGACCCCGTTCGTTCGGATGAGATCCACCGATGGTTCGGATCCATGCTGGCCATCCATCCATGCCCTTAAGGTGTTTGAGGTAAATCTCCATGGACAGATCGAACCGCTGAGGGTCCCTGACTCTCAGGATCAATGGAGGATCCGGTTTGCACAACGCAAAAGCTGAGTCTGAGGCCCTCAGTTCGCTAAGCGCCCTTTGCCAGCCGGGGATCCATTGGTTGCATTGGACGGACCTGCCAGGGCTGTCATTGGTGAGCACTGGTTCGAAGTCTGAAATCGCATGCTTGACAGGCGGGACCTAGAAGAAACCCTAAAAAAGACACCCATGTGTCCATTGGACGGGTCACCTGACTTCGCGCGTCCAGTGCAACACGAGTGCTCAGAGTGCGGAGCCGAATCTCGTGCGCTGACTAGTCCGCAGCTCGGCACGGAGACATAGCGCTATACCAAGCTCATAGTCAATATTCGTGCTATGTGGGGGTGTCTCTGTTGGATTTGGCCCAACATGGCTTCAGTGTTCCTTTTGGTGTGCCTTTCAAGCCACCAACACAAAGTGCTCTTGAGAAAAGACACACCTATCACTACTGAGGGCCAGAGACCATCATCCTATGGCACCCCCATGGCTTTAAATCAGCATTGATACGGGCCAGTGGTCCAGTAAACCATCTGGAAGCTGCTGGATTGCCCACCCTGCTCTGCCAGAGGTAAGTCTTGGTCCAGCCATTTAGAACGGTGACGCCGTGACAGCCTCAGCACATTGACAGCAAGGCCTCGTAATGACTGTTGATCAGCTTGGACCTGAAACAAGCTGATGCCTTTCAGGAGAACGCAGACATATCCCGCGCCAAGCAGCCAGTTGGCTTGGGGCACGACGTAAAGCTTCCTTCTCCGACCCGCAGACACATGGATGACTAGTTGAGATTGTTGTCATGAAGTTGTGCTTGCAGAACACTATTCTCCTGAGAAGCAAAGCTTAGCAGAAGCTGCACAGCTATCAACTCACACGTCCGAAACTGCTTCGCCTGACGTGTCTAATTCATGAAGCCGTTCGGAGGCGTCTTGGCTGTCCTACAGAGTGGGTCCCTGTGCGCCATTTCTGTAGGAGGGTAAGGCATCCGTGTCCTTTCTCTCTCCTTCTCCCTCTCCAACTTAACCCCTTCTTCGGACTACTGGACTTGCAACCCTGGTCGGCGAGCACCATTCCCCCGTCAGTAAGTAACACCCCTCGTAGGTAATTAACCCTGTTGGTAAGTGAACCCCGCACAAAAAAAAAAAAAAAAAACTAAAAACTCCAAGGCCGCAAGTAGTGACAGGTATGTTGCTTGCCGCCTGGAGTTCTTACAGGGCAATTGTGGAATTGGCTACCTGAGGCCTTTGAAGAAGACTATGGTGCTCCCAAATCCTTCTGTCATCTTTGGTCCAAGTGCCTTGTGAGAGTGTACCTTGACCTGTTTAGAGTCCCCAAGTACATCCTTTGCACCAATTCTGGGCGATTGGAACGGCTCAGGACGCTTTCTCGCGGCAATGTTCCGGAAGCTGGTGACTTTGGTCAGCCTGGCGGCGGTGCATGGCGAGCCTTCCGAGGCTGAGCTGATGCAGGAGCCGCGGCAGGGAGGCCAATTCGTGGAGCCGGGTGCCCTCAGAGACGTTCGGGCTTGAAGCACGACATGTACCAGCTTTTGGGCGGTTTTTGCTTGCAAATCATGTGGTTTTCGGATGTATCCTTTCAACAAAGCCTTGGATGTTGCATGGAAATGAGTTCCATGTGTTAATTCTAGGGGACACTTCCCCATTCTTTCCAGGGATCCTTCTTTTCAGAAAACCGTCAGAACCCCGGAGAAAAAAGCAACTGGTGGTTGAAAAGAACGCTGGTTGATTCAAGAATGGACAAGGAATCAACCCCTGAACTACCCCAGAAACCAATTGGGAGGGTACCTCGCACCACCGATTACTTGGTGGGAGGCTGAACCCTGCAGATCCACCCCTCTCCACTCGATCCGCGCGGGGCTCGGGGCTCGGGACAGGAGTTGACCATGCTGCAGCAGGCCGTCGCGGAGCAGCAGCGCACCATCCTGGCCCGGGCGAAAGAAATACTCTTCGACTCGGGCCTGTCCTGTGGGTTGTTTCTGTCTATTTAGTTTTTTTCCCCTGGGGGCAAGAGGTGTTCTCTCTTCCTTTTTTTCTTCTTTTGTTTTTCCGAAGAAAGCCGTTTTGGATGTTTTGGTTGGTGGCCTGGTTCCTGAAAATGATGAACCCCATCGTTCTGAACCATCACTGAAGAATTGGGATGAGTGGCATTTGGTAAAGTATCCAGTCTATGATCAATTGGGGAGAGACTTGTGGGGACTCCTCAAGTTTCCCGCAGGGCGAGGATGTATTCTCACAGCCTGAATTCCGTTCGCCTGCGGGAGGCTCACTGACTGCTGGAAAAACGAGTGTCCCGCACAAATGCTTCGTAATCGTCCATTTGCCTGAGAAGATTACTTTCCCCCTACTACTGGACAAATTGTCTTATTCTTCCAGAAGACTTAAGCAACGGGAGGTGCGCGTTGCGAGAGCAGCAAATTGTTTTGATTGAACCCAGGGGCTGGCAAGTCAAACAGTCAAACACGCGGCCCTTCCCATTCAAGCACCACCGAGCTGATCACGAGGCCCTTTGGTGGCGTCCTTTGCTTTAAGCTGCGTGGAAAACATGTTTCTTTCTCTTTCCTTTCTCCCTGGCAGGGACGAAGCATTTGTATGGGCGGGGTGGGGTAGGGGAGTGGGAGGTGATGGGCAAGAGTGAGTGGATGGCTGGGTCAGTTTGTCTATTTGTTTGATTGTTCGACAGCGTTGCGTATGTTTGTATCGTGATAGTTTTCTATTTGTGTAGGTGTGTGAACTGTTTGTTTGTCTGTGCGTGTGTGTGTGTCTGTCTATGTGTTTTGCTATCAGGGTTTCTATCAGATTTGTGTTTTGTGTGTCGTTGTTTTTGTTTGGCCTTGTTTTGCAAGATTGGGGCTCACAGATCGGAGGCAAGCAAGGTTGCGGTTCATCCTGAACCAACAATCAAATGTCAGCTGAGTCAGCTGTTACGTGCGGACCAGCCGCAAACACACATTTGTTTTTCTTTTGCAATCCTTCCCAGCTCCTTTGGGCAAGGGAGGTTCAGGCTCCAGTGGCCAGGATGCACTTCACCGACGAGATACTTCCGGCTTAGGCATTGCACTTTTTTTTGCTGCAACTTAATTAAGCATTGACGCTCACCCTGTGCAAGGTTGCAGTGCTTTACAAGTTGGGTGTTGCAATCTGCCATCGCCGCAGGATCAAAAAGCGGAGTTGGAAGAGTACATGGACCACTCCCGACGCCTGCAAGTCTCTGTGAACGAGACCTACTACAGCAACACGATTGCAAGCCTGCAGGCCACAGACTACGGCTTCACCGGCGCCATTGACTCGGCATGGCTTTGTCTTTGCGGAGCCCTGGTCATGTTTATGCACGCCGGCTTTGCGATGCTGGAGACCGGCAGTTGCCGTGCCAAAAATGCATCCAACGTCCTCATGAAGAATCTGGTGAACGTTTGCGTTGGCACCCTGGGCTGGTGGAGCCTCGGTTGGGCCTTCGCCTACGGGGCAGAGGCTAAGACAAACGGCTTCATTGGCGCCAGCGGCTTCTTCGGCCTGGACTTCTACACGCAGGATGCTACCACAGGAGTTATCACCCCGGTGACCTGCAACTCCGACGGCTGCCAGAGCACCATGCTGAGCTGGTTCTTCCAGTGGGCCTTTTGCACGGCAGGGGCGACCATCGTGAGCGGAGGGGTGGCAGAGCGTGTGAAGAGCCCCACCTATGCCGCCTACGCCTTCTGCATGACCACCTTCATCTACCCCGTGATTGTGGCCTGGTCCTGGGGGGGCGGCTGGCTGAATAGTATCTTCGATGTGGGCTACATGGACTTTGCAGGCAGCGGCATTGTACACCTCACTGGGGGTGTCAGTGCGCTGGCGGGCACGGTGGTTCTGGGCCCGCGCAGCTTGAAGCAGAACTAACTTCGCTTTAGAGTGATGATGTCAAACACTGTGAAAAAAAATCACCCTGTTCGCATTGAGCCGAAACGATTTAGAGGCACTTATATTTTCTATGACACCTGTAAATTTCATGCACTCCTTGGGTTAGTGAAAGGCTCCAGGCGGAGTCCCCCTTTGGGCAAGTGACCTAGCAGAAACGGAAGCCTTCGGATGGAAGATGCGAAGCTGACGGAAGCTGGCCGGAACTTTTTTCGCAGAGCACGCTTCAGCGTGAAAACGGCAGAAAACCGAGCAACGGCAAGCCTGATTCCACGGTGGGCATAATCAAAACAACGAGGTGCTGACCTCTCACTAACTGGTTCTTTTACTAAAGTCTACACTATTCATACGGTTGATATATGAACAGTTTCCTGACCACCAGGTCACCAACAGGTGCCAACAAGGTCTCATGTCAAGTGGAGTCTTGTCGACGTTGTCGCTGTGGCGCACGTGACGCATGTGCGCGTTTGCGCACTGTTGTTCAGGCGGTGAGTCTCGCAATGCTTTTCCATGCAAGCCAATGGCAACGGGAATTTGCCCACCAATGTGCTTTCCCGCAAACCCATGGGAATTCGCCCACCAGTTTGTTTTCCGGGCAACCCCGTGGGAGTTCGCCCATGTAGGTTCCTTATGCCGAGGCAGCGGCAGGTCGTTTTGCCGGTTTCGCCCAAGGTAAGGGACGCTTCGTGAACCCTGAGGAGTTCGAGGCACAGCCGGGCTCGCGACTGCGCTTGGCTGCTCAGATCCGGAAACGGTTTGTTGGGTCCAGGAGAAAGCAAAAGCAAATCGTGTCGGTCTAATCATTTGCCAGACCCAACTCTCTCGAAGTGCGACAGGGCACCTGGATACCTGCGGTTGAAACTGCGCCCCTTCCTAAGATAGCACATGTCACGCCTTGGGTACACGGTATTCGGCCCATGTCTTTCGCGCGCGGTTGGATCCTGGGCTTGTAGAATCAGGGCCTTTGAAAGCTGTGTTTGGCACGTATAAATCACAGATGAGCGCAACCCCTTGCTGAGACAGAACAGGTGCGCAGGGATCACCGGACTAAAAAGGACGATGAAGCGTGAGATCTAGCCACTGTTGAAAACCAGCTTTATGTTGAGTTGCCTTGTCAGGTTGCCCCTTGACCAAGGAGAATACGGTGAACCCCACAAAATTACCTCGCTGCTTGTGACTGGGGCAGTGGCTGTGACACGTCCATTGGGAGCAAAATGTGTCAGGCCCACAACCTGCCCCTGGTCGTCTTGGGCACCTTTGCTCTGTGGTTCGGCCCGGCACCCCAATTTCCAGGTTCCTTACGGGTTGTGGGCAAACCCAAATCAGGACTTCGGTATACTTCGGTCAAATTCCCACTTTAGGGTTGTTTTAAAGGGAAAACCAAAGGGGAAAGAGCTTATGTTTGGGGGTTCCCTCAAAACGAGATACCCCCACATTGTCAAACTCCTTGAGCCCTCGGATTGCAAATCGAGTTCATTTGTAGCATCACCTGTCGGATCCCGAATGGCCAGCTATATGGCTACTTCCATTTGCTTAATATCATTCGTTATTTCCTTGTGGTGGTTAAAGGAATCTAGCACTAGTGGAAATATATTTTGCATTTTTCCAAGGGGCCTAAGCAAATGGAGGACTATGTGACTATATGAGTATGTGTTTGATGGTTTCATCTACCTGAGTGATTTGTATATGGCAACTGACTATGAGTAACCACGGCCATCAAGAGCCCTGATCAGGCCATGAGTTTGCCCTGGCTCCCCTTACCATAGCTCGCATATTGACGTAGAGGTAGAGGGCATATCCAACTATGAGGGCGGCTGCGATTTCTTTCATAGTTTCAGGGACTATGCGCAGTCAGATAACTACTAAGTGAGGCGTCGATCAAGCCACAGGGAGGGAGTTAGTATGTGACGCACCCAGTGGTATCCGCTTGTGCCAGGGTGAGTTTGCGCACTGCCCACGCCACAGACAATTTTTCGCGAGAACTGGGGCGCTCTGTGACTCACCGTTCTCCCTTTGTCGTGAGCGAACAAAAGCACAAACAATAGCAGTTATAACTGACCTATAGGACCAATTCGCCAGTCATGAAGGTCGCTCCCTTCGGAACGTCTTTCCGCTTGAGGATGAATGTCATCAGTTCAATCATTGCAATTTTGCGGAACACACACACACGGACCCAAGGAGGCATGTTGGTCTATTTTTTTGTCAGACCAGTTACTTTCCACCCAGTATTTCACCTCGACGTTGCGCTCCAAGAGTCTTGAGCCGGTTGTCGGGATGCAACTCTAAATTGCCAGGGATTGAGGTCTGTGTTCCCAAACAGCCTCCTGAGAAAGATACTCCGCTGGGCACAGTGAGTCGCGGCTCGGAACGCTTGGCCGGTTTGAGTCAGCTTGTCCACATCATTTTCGCAACGTCTATTTTAAGCTGTGCTGCCATCCAAACTTCGGATGAATCAGTGCTTCTAGCCTTGAGATACCCAGGCTGGTATGGATTCAACCCGGGCTCCACGCTGAGCATGAGCAGCGGCAACATGGGTGCCCTGGCGGCGCAAGTGGCGATGAACACCACCCTCTCCGCTGCCACGGGGGGGATCATGGTCTTCCTCGCCAGGTGCTCCGTGATTTTGCCGGGCGGGTCAAGAACGAGTCTTTTTTTTGCTGGATCCGGGTTTCGAGACAATGAGCAAGGGTCCCATGCACTAATTATGTTGTGAGTATTTTGTGTGTTGCTTTGGCCATTTGCCAGGTACGCCATCTTCGGCAAGTACGATGTTGGAGGTCTTTGCAACGGCACCTCGGCCACTCCAGAGGCTGCGTTGATCCTTCACGATGCCGAGTCAAGCAGGAATCGAGTCGAGGAATTCTCTCGACTCCAGGTGGGGCAGTTTGCATCATTGAATCACTGCTTGCTTTGGACCCTGTGCGTGAGCATCATCTTGCATGGTGGCCCTTTGCCCTCTACTTGTGCGCGTGCCTTTGTTTTTTTGAGGGTACCCTTTCACCTTGGCTTTCAAGGGCAAACCAAAGAGGAACTGACATGTTTTATCCATTTTGGGGAATTCCCCTGTTTCGACACCCTGAGCCAACCGCAAGGCATTTTGGCCGGGCTGGTCTCAATCACCGCCGGCTGCGGCAACATGGAGTCGGGCTGCGCGGTTGCCACGGGCTTCGTTGGTGCGCTCGTCTACCAAGGCGGGAAGGGCAGGTCAGATACGGGTGTCATTTTTTGGGGGAACCCCTTTAAGCATGTTCCTTACTTAGGTTTTGAGGGAAAACCATAGGAAACAAACCAGAGGTAGCCCTGCTTGAAGAGACAATCCTATCTCAAGGCCAACTGGCGGTGGGCAATCCGAGCAGCGCCAAAACTTCCATGGGCTCGTTTCATGTAGGGTGCAGTAAGAGCCACGCACACCTTTGTAAGCAAGATAGAACCAAAAAGTTAATGGGATTTGGGCTCTTACATCATCACTTGCCTCGCCCCTCAACCGCACCCGGGAGTTAACCCTGGCAACAGCATGAGGACCTGTCAAACGTGGAGAATCAAGGACTTTCCCTGGCAAGATTGAATGACATGCCGGGAATTGGCAGCTGGATGGAGCAGTCAAGAGCTATTCCTGGGGTACCTGCGAATCGCGCGTCGGAACCATTCAGGAAACTGAAGTCTGATTCGCGTTTGAGCGCAGCCCGCAGCTCATAGTTTCCTTCCTTGGTAGGGATGAGTGTTTGCAGCATTCACCAACAATTCGTGACTTTGCTTCAAGTGGCTGTGCAGTAATTACAGCGGGAAGCAACGGACCAAGGAGGTTGATTTGGATGCAGAGCTTCTGAATTCGTTCTTCTGTTGGCAAGGTCAGCATTTAATTTCATGCAGGGATGAGATGGTTGTTGGCCAACAGTTGGCAACAGCTCCCCAGTTTGGCTCGATTTTTTGTTTTGCGCAGAGGGTCCAAGTATGTCGAAGTTCCGATCAAGTGATCAGCGGTTCGTCCTGGGCAGGCTCTTCCATGCTCCTTCAGAAGCTGAAGATTGACGATCCCGTGGATGCAGTCCCAGTGCACGGCTTCTGCCTCTCGGCGCTGGCTGTTGCAAATGGGCTTGCTTCAAAATAGGTGAAGCCTCACGCGTGGTTTGTGGCTTTAAGCATTTCCAGTAGAGCCGGCGAAGCCGGCAGAGCAGGTACATATTTCAGATTCGGGGGCCGTAATTGCACGTTTAAGATTTATGAACAGCGGCGGCAACTTGTCAAACCGCGCGCTTGGTAAAACTGGAGCCGCGAAAGGCCGGCGAATGGACCGCGAAAGGCCAACGAATTTATTAGTGCCGACGCACGTCTCGCTGATTTGGACTGCGCGGGCTCCAGCAAAAATCCTATTGGAGTCCTGAATGTTGATTTCCTTTGTGCAGGGCCAGACAGTGCTTTCCAAATCTGCTTGCTGGCAAGGGCTGGCCGGAAGCTGCGATTGGACCGCGGTTGGACGGCGATTGGACGAGTTGCACCAGTGAACCCCTGCCCATCCGAGCTACATCACTCCCTTCTTGTTTCCATGAGATAAGACCGCGAAACTCGAAACAGAAGCAGCAGCGACGCCCAACGTTACTGCGCGATTGGAATGTGTGGGACCGCGATTGGCCGGCGATTGGGGGGTCCCCAGGCGAAGTTATGTTCTACAACCCC